TTATTAGATAAAACGAGGAGTTCTCCGTGCTCCAAATTGTATGAAAAGCTTTAATTGAAATGTATTAACTATATTTCTTTACTTAATTTTGTATTTTTCAAAAATATATTTTTTGATCAGTTACGCCATATATGGCTTTAAAAAAATGCTACATAATTGCATGACACTTATCATTGAGCTGATTGAGTGAATGTATATAATTTAATAATTAGATATCTGTGAGGCATATATGTACAAGCAAATATTGCTATATTAAACGAAGGAAAGGGGGGAATTCAAATTAGGAAATAAAAAATCGTTTTTAAGTAAATCAGTCTTGTAGTACTGCAAAATGGATGCAGTTGTGGAGTTTTATGGATAATATGACCATGCTGTCTGGAATATTTTCGTATTAGGGAATTTAGCGCAGAAAACCACTAGCCCCATCCTCAAAAATGGAAGCCCCGGGTGTAGCGCGATGGTAATTACACACCCATCATACGAAATAGCTATAGTAGCCCTATACATGTATCAATTTCAGTATTGTTTTAGATTAATTAAAACAAATGACAAAAACAATAATTAAAAAAAAATCAAAACTAGGGCTAATTGTAACGGGAACCGTTACAGATGTTCCCCAAACGCTCCCCAACTCCCTTTTGGTGCCTTACTCCCTGTAAGCTTCATTAAATAAGACGAACTCTATGCCTTTTAGACTATAACAATGTTTTCCCAAAAGTATATTCAGTATATTCAAATTTATGCATTGCACGCATGCGCATTTGAATGCATGTGTGTAATGACCTTATCATCTTGTCTACACTATTTATATACTAGAAATTACAGCGTTTTATCCAAAAGTATTAAAAAATACGTTTTAATCTAGTGTATTTGTAATTTTACTCATTTCACGTGCACGCACGTGCGTGCATGTGCATGTCGACCATATCTTCTTGTAGGAGTCTGTTATGTTTGTCTATGTTCTAAATCCCATTCTGTTTGGTTGAAAAACGAGGAAGTTATAGCCATTTTAAGTTTAAGCCAATCAGATTGCAGCGCACGTGTATGCGCATGTTTTCATGACAACTGTTATATATCATATTGTAGGACATCCTAATGCATGATTATGTTTAAGATTTTAAAGCATTTCGTCAAAAATTAAAAAAAGATATTGCGATTTTTGTTTCAGCGAATCACAGCAAAGCACACGTGCATGCACGTGCATGCCTGTGCATGACGACCATACCTCCTTGTGGGAGACCATTATGTTTGTCTATGTTCTAAATCCCGTACTGTTTCGTTGAAAAACAAGGGAGTTATAGCCATTTAAAGTTTAAGCCAATCAGATTGCAGCGCACGTGCATGCGCGTGTTTACATGACAATTGTTATATATCATATTGTAGTACATCCTAAAGTATGCCTATATTTTAAATTTCATAGCATTTTGTCAAAAAACAGAAAAGATATTGAGATTTCTGTTTCAGCCAATCAGAGCGAAGCGCACGTGCATGCGCGTGAGTTCGTGCTAATTTGACAGTGTCACATTATCTACACTATGAATATATCCTTATTAAATGAGTTTTAAAATATTTCATCAAAAAATGTTAAAGTTATGGCTATATAAAGTATATCCGTCATTTCACTCATTTCACGCGCCCGCACGTGCATGCGTATGCGCGCAAAATAACCTTCGTGTTGCACACCTACACTACACACCTATTAACCCTAAAAAGGTTTTAGCTCAGTTGGGTGAACAGTTTCTGAGAACACTCGCGGACAAAAAAGTACCGGAGAACAAAGAAGAAAAAAAAGAATAATAACTAGAGCAAAGCTCGTTGCAAAGCAACGAGTAGGTCTTCCGTCCTGTTTGACCGGAAGTAGCTTTCATTTTCAACAAAAAATGAGAAATAACGCCTAGAAATGGTTTGAATCCTCTAAAGCTATGTTATATAATGCTAAAATAAGCAATTTTTGCTACTTCCGGTTTTACCGGAAGTGACGATGATGGACCGCAAATTAATTTTTATGCTCCAAGAGACATATGTTACCAAAAAAACATGAAAAGAAGAGCAAAAATACCCGTTTTTGACTACTTCCGGTTTGGCCGGAAGTGACGACGCCGGACGTATTTTGACGACTCAGATAGATTAAGCTTATCATTTTGAACAACTTTGCTTCTTTGAAGTATTACAAATTCTCAATACTTTTCGAGATATCAAGTAAAAATTTTTGGCCCCTCTAGATCCCTAATTTTAAGGGTCAGCCCTTTTTTCGAGATATCATTTGAAAGATCTTAGAAATCTTCACAATTTTTGTTCTATATGTTTTAACAAAATATTTACAAGTAAAAAGATATAATAGAAAAAGTGTAACAAATTTTGAAACGCTCAATATGGCTTTTTTCATACCATACCGAGCGTTAACGTGCAGTACTTCCGGTTAAAGTTAACAACACAATGCAAATCTACATTTGTTGCTCTATCTTCCAGACAAGGTTTCATCTTCCTGTGATGAGCGATTTTTATGAAGAGCGACGGACAAAATGACCCTTAAAAATCACAAAATTGCGAAAATTTTCGAACCGGAAGTGACGTCATCAAAATGAAAAAAAATGCATCAAGATTTTAATATGTTCTATCAGACCTGAAAGATTCATTAAAATCTAACGAGCAGTTTTCGAGAAATCGCGTGCACAAAATCGGGGAGAAAAAAAATAATAAGAAAAAGAGTGGAAGAAGAAACAAACGAATAACAAGAAGGTCTTCCGCTGAAGACGGAAGACCTTAATAATAATAATAATAATAATAAGAAACCGAGTAAAAATAAAGCAGACACTCATGTAGTTTTAAATCTAAAGCAAACTAGCATGCCCTTTTTTCTCGGCGCCATGCCTTTTTTCCTTACCCAAAATTAATAAATATGCCCAGTTTAGGCAATATTCCTTTACTGTTCTGTTTATTCAGTGCATGCTGATAATCTCTTTATCTAAACAACCACAGGAAATCACTTCACGCTTGAACGCACGCACACAGCCACCTGGCTAATTAACATGCCTCAGGCTTTCAGGGTAGAGGATTTAACTTGAGAAACTGTCATTTGATTGCATTGATTATGCAAGAATTAGCCCAAGACCAAAGATAAATAAACTTGTAAATTATTAACTAATAAAAACCAGGATCGTTTTTTTATAAACAGAAAGTAGAATAAAACACATAGTACAACTTGAAGAAAAAACGGATATTTTTTTATCTGAATAAAATACTTACAGTGTACCAAAAAACTGAATGTAATGTGATAAAAAGGCTTAAAAACAACAAACTAAGTTAGTTTCTTTGATTGAACTGATAGATTTGACAAGCTGAGGGTCAAAGTTTCTAATTAAAGCCAGAGTTTTTAAAAAAAAGAAAACAAAAAAACTAATTATGCATGGCAGTAAGACCAGTTTTCACTTGATCCTGTTGGTAGAATATTTTCCAAATAAAGAGAATGGTCTCTACATGTATTTTTCAAAATGCCCATCCCCCCCTTCCCTGAAAAAAAGTATTTTCCTTTAATGTTTAAATTGACTGTACTTGTAAACAAATAATAGCCCAAGCAGGTAAAAAAACAATCATACCTCCAAACTTTAATAATTTTTGCACCTGTTTCAGCTAGATTAATACCATTACTTTCTCAAGTGTAACCTTACTACTTTTTTTATTGAAGAAATTGGATGTAAATGCCTTTTTTATATTCTTTTTGTTTCTGAATCAATAATTAAAACATTGTTTAAAAAAAAAGAATTGAATACAGATACATGTATATGATTTTATCTTTAAATTACTTGTTTTTAATAAAGATTTCAATATGAAAGGATATTAAAAGTAATTAAACATGTTAAAGTATGTAAAAATTAAAAAATGTTGAATATAATTTCAATGACATTAACATTTGTTTTCAAAGTGCCCTCTTGAGATCCTGTCGCGACACAAATTGCCCTTTTGATTCCTTGATTACCATGCCCTTTTTAGGTCTAGATTTAACATCAAAGACAGAAAGAAGCACTGTTTTGACTGAAAGTTTTTCAGTAATACAATGAATCTCTTAAGTTACATATCAGATGATACAAACTTACATAAAATTATTTAGATGTTGTCAATTATCCCATTTATCATCATCTCAGCTCACTTTGCGATTGTAATACTGTCTACATGAACCGATAATTTACAGCTGATTTATGAACACACGATTGTTAAAATTTTCATTTCCCTTTCCAATATACATTGTCAGAACATATTTACTTGGTTATGATATAAAATTAAATAATAAACACTTTCGATTCATTAAAGATTACCTAACAATATACGATCATTTACTAAATACTTCTCGCCCTCAACATGCTCAAGAGAGTTAAAAAGACAGAGAAAATTCAAAATACAAGTGCAACTTAGGATTAATTGTTCCGATATATCTATTTTAATTTTGTGCACAATTGTTTTCAAAATTACATTAAAATCTATTTTCCTTAAACAAGAACCCAGCAATGGATAAATATTAATCGAATAAACTTACCTTTTCTCTTGTCAATCAGAAAATCTTGTTGACATTAAGTGTTTCTTAGACGCCATATTTTTTTTCCATGAAAACAAACGTTGTTATGATCAGGATGAACGGAAGTTGATTTTCGGAACTCTTGAGAATTTAGAGTTCCGAATGTAAAACTGAAACAACAAAACACGGTGCGTCCGTGAAAGCAACTTTTTTGGACACTTTTTTGGACAAATCGTCGTGTCCAAGTTTTGTTGGGTACTAACCTGCAAATACCCAATTAGGGTGTTTTAAGCATATTCAGCGACACTTCTTATTGGGTATACCCAATAAGCAAAAAGTACCCAATAAGTACAATCTTGGCATGAAAAATACCCAATAAATGCACTCTCGTAAACACGGACGGACGTACAGCTAGACGGACGGACGGACGGACGGAAATACCGATTACTATATACCCCCACTTTTCAAGCGGGGGGTATAATGAATACACATGGTAGCTGGTTGGTGCTTAATATGATGTAATATAGAATTAATCAAGAATGCTTTCCTGCAATTTTTAGCTGTCGCTATTAAAAAGTGAAGTGAGCTCAGAACCTAAGCTAACTTTGATTATCTGCAGAATGCAAAGGCGGTTATTTTGGAGCTTATTGTGCATCCAGGTGCAGTCCTAATTGTGAGAACGGGATCTGTAATCAACAAACGGGTGAATGTACATCCTGTAAAAACAATTGGAAAGGCATATTTTGTAATGGTATGTAATATTCTTGTTTGTTTCTTAGATAACGTTATTAGTAAAAAGCAATACAGGGCTCTATACACGGATATTTCAGAACAAAATTCCTAACTTGTGACTTCTATCTTAAGTATTTCTTCATAAAAGTTCTTCATAAAAGTACACGTTTTTCTTCATAAAAGCCTTCATAAAATTACATGTTTCCTCAGAATAATTTTAATCTATGTTGCAATTTTTTGTGTATTACAAATGTATAGATACTTTAAGAGTAAATGGGTGTTATCTTTTTCTTATATTTCTTGATTTCTAGAGTGCCCTGTCGGCAATTATGGAGATAGTTGTATCCCATGCAGTGTAAACTGTAAATTATTAAGCAGTGAGTCGAGACAAGTGTGCAACAATTTCACTGGTGTCTGCATTCACGGGTGTACAGAAGGCTGGAGCGGTGAATATTGTAATGAAAGTAAGGAAGATATAAAAGGGTATTTAGCCAAGCATGTACACTGTAACAATTAAATGAAAACAGTCTTCTTCCTGTCTGTGTCTTTTCTACACTCTCGATCTTTATCGTGCGTAGGGAACCCATTAAACCCAGAACATGGTAATTATGCTCTCGAGTCTTCAACCTAGTCATATTAGGTCAAGATCTAGTAAATGAGAGATGCCTACAGATTTATCAAATTTGAAAAATAAAATCCTTCAATGATGCTTTATCACTTAAGCTTGGCCAAAGAAGAAGTTTAGTGTCATAATTTGTAAACGAGATAAAAAACCAAATTCTAAACAGTCATTTTCAATGAAAAATTAAGAAAATCAGTCATAATTAGAGAGTTTTTTTTTATATTCGGCAAAGTTATTGCATCCAAATCGCATACAATCTTTCAGAAAAGGGTATTTGTTTGTTCATGATGACTTCTTCAAAACTGTCTCCTGTGATATTAACATAAACCTACACGTATTTAACTTAAGCAGACATTCTGTTATGATTTTTTTATTTACATGTAGCTATAGGTGAAGATTGTAGGAATAAACTTGATAAAAAAAAATCTCAATACTTCATATACATTAATAGAAATTCAGAGGATTCTGAATTTTTCGAGAACAAATGTCTGCAATTTACTTTTTTTCACACAGCTTGTAGGTCAACTACCTATGGTGTAAACTGCAGCAAAACATGCTCAGCGTTTTGTGAAAATAAAATATGTGATCATATTACTGGGAGATGCGGTACATGCATGGAGAACAGATATGGCGAATTCTGTGAATATTCTTGTGAAAGATGTGATGGTAGTTGTGATCGATATAACACCATTTGTGTTAATTGTAAGACAGGATACTTTGGTCAAAACTGCATGAAAAATTGCAGCATCTCTTGCCTTGGAAAAGTTTGTGAACAAACAAATGGACATTGTCCATCCTGTGAACCAGGGTTTAAGGGATTATTTTGTGAAGGTTAACCTCATTTAATAATTGTGCATGTAATTCATTTTAAATGTGCATAAGTTATAAAAATCTGATTTTTTTAAAAATATAATTTACTTCTTAATTTAAGTTGTAAATCTTGATAGACATTGTTTCAATGTGCTTTAATTTCTGCATGTTTTTTTTCTAGAATGCGAATCTGGAAAGTTCGGCGAGAAATGTTCTGATTCTTGTAGTAAGAATTGTGTCAACATCACTTGTAGTCGTAAAGGAGAATGTGATGGTGGCTGTAAAAGCGGATGGATAGGGTTTCGATGTGACAATCGTAAGTTAAACAAACAATAAGCAAGACAAAACATAAAGTTATCCACTCAATGTACTTACTGGAGCTTAAGACATGAATGCAATATGGTCAAATGCACAGGATTGTTTTAACTATTAAATAGATATGTACATTTAAAAGTAAATTCTGGAATATTCAGTAAGACGATTGAATTTAAGTTTTTCAGGTCCAAGTTTGATGATGTCTCTTTACTTAGAAGCGTTAGGTTTTGTCATTGCCCCTTTACCTATCATATTGAAAGTGTTTTTGATACATAATATACACTATAACAAAAAGATTTTTTTCTAATGTGCTGATTATGCTCTAGTCTGCATGATACATTTATTACTTAATTATGTGTATTTTCAAATTGAAAATAATTGAAAATGAGTTTTTGTTGGAAGTATTTAAGGGGGCGACTGCGGTTTTATTGTGTAAAAAACTACAATAGCGAAACTCTTCATTTTTATACAATATTTATTTGGCACGAGAAATTCACAAAAATGAGCTGAACATTCACAGTTGAGAAACTAGGTTTATAAACTGTAAACTATAGTTTAGATATCCTGAAGTAAAGTTAACAACTCATTATGTATGGTTAACAATTCCTAAACTATAGTTTTCATCTCTAAAACTATATTGAACGGTTGTTAAATATAGTTTGCGAATATTAATATAAGTTTATCTGTCCGTAATAAAACGTTTACAATGGATTTTGTTGATAAACCTAGACTCACGTCTGTAAACTATAATTTACAATCGTGAACTATAAGTTTTGAGCTGTTAATCATAGTTTCACAAATCGTGAAACTATATTTATCAGAACCTTAACCATAGTTAAGAGTTGTAGATCATAGTTTATAAATCGTGAACATGTATTTATCAGATATTCTATGTTTTGCTATCGCAAAGGACTGTTTTCATTGTAAAGTATAGTTTGCGGTTCTGAAACATAGGTTATCGCGTTAACTATGGTTTACAGTCCGTAAACTATAGTTTACAACCAATAAACGTAATTTATCGACTGTGAAACTGTGTTTATCTTATTTTTTGTATTTTGGCGTGCCAAACTGTATACATAACTTAAATTAACTTCAGTGTACATGCCATGTTTGGGGGAAATCGACCGTCCAGGTATTTTAAGGAAACCGTCTCAGAGTACAGGTACATTTTCTACAGGATTATAGAGGAAAATACCTATTTTGAGCACTTCAAAGCAAGTTTTACAACCACTACAATAAACATTTTGTTGAAAATATAATGATTGTTGAGTAATACATTGTACGTTATTGTACATTTCATGTTGGAAACACAATATTCTACCCTCTTTTACCAAAGGTGTATCTCAAAAATAACAAATTAACAATTTTTTCTGTTTACAAAATATGACAGACACAAAGGATTGTATAAAACATAAAACATATCATGGAGATATTCTCTATGTTTAAAATTTCAATAGTGTATGTTTATTACTTTTTCTTTAATAATATTTTTATTACCACTTTTTTGCACAGTTTTAGTTTATCATAACGTCAAAAACACAATATCACGACGTCAATCTACCTATAAATTGCAAAATCGATTGAAAAAAAAATCAGTAATATTAAATTGAATTACATTTTTATACCTTTAATTTCTTACGTTTATTAAGTTTTATCAATAAGCGAAATAAGCGAATTTACTATGATGCCCGAATTATTCTGAAATGAAAACCACATTCGCCCCCTCCTAAATTAAGTAGTTTACAACAGCTTCTCGTGTGTTCAAATATGAATTAGTAAAAAAGATGAATATTATTCACCAGTTTGTGTTACCTGGAGGCATTATTCTGACTGCCTGTAAGCCCTGCCACTTATAATACAAAACAGGAATCGATTATTGCAAGGTTCAGTAGTATAGATATGAGATTGATAAGCAAGATATTTATACAGAATATTCATAAGTGTACCGGGATTTTTTAATAGAGTTGACCACTTAATTGAGTGTAGTATATACATTTACATTAAGATATATATTAATATAAGCCTGGAAGAATAACTAAATGTGATAGAGTGAAAGGTAGATGAAATCAGGGAATACATTGAATATTTCTTTTTTTTCAAGCATGTCCTGAGGGATCGTATGGTGAAAAATGTCTATATCAATGCAACAACAATTGTGCAGCCGGTTGTAACCATGTTCATGGCGATTGTAATCAAGGCTGTTCAGCTGTTGGTTTACAACCCAAAAGATGTGATAAACGTAAGTTTTAATGAATCCTATTTATCTATTTACTAACTTTTATAGAATTTTAAAATTTTCATGTGTATAATGCATGCAAATAATATATAGTATTTTTCGAGCAACAGTTGGAAAGACAAACCAAAGAACATTAGACTCTTTTTCACAAAAAGAAGCTTAGATACTGCTAATGTCAATTTTCTCCAATCAACCCTTAACGATAGTCTACTCTTATAACTAGACTCAAACTGTAAAATTACAGGATAGAAGGAGCCTTTATAATTTAAAAGTTCAAAGTTCATCAACCCTCTAATAAGAACTTTAACTCTTACTTGAGCAAATGCATGAAAATCCTTTCCAAAATATTAAAACAAAATAACATGTTTTTTTTTTTCTAGCCTGTTTACCAAAATACTATGGATTAAACTGTGTATCGATATGCAGCAGTAATTGTGCTGAATCTGGCCTCTGTCATCCAGAAAACGGGAGCTGTGTGTCGGGATGCAGCCCTGGATATTCAGGAGATCTGTGTTCTACCGGTGAGTTTATTTGTTTTTACATTATCTGTATTTTATATATCATATTAATAAACTATAATATTATTAGTCTTAAATTTCGATACTCACTCTTTTAACGTGATAAAGTATTCAGCGACAACGTGCTTACGAGATCTGTAAGTTTTCAAGATATTTTTTATTTAAATGCATGGCTTTTCAGAACGCTTTTTATAAGTAGACTTCAGCAAATTTTCATGTCTTGTGAGATTATTCTCAATGTAAAATAGTAAAGCATATTCAGTCAGGTTAGTTTTGGCAAGAGCGAGAACCTATCAGTCAATTTGTAATATTCAAATTTGCTGCCAAGCCAACTGTAAAGTTGATTTGAATACCATTTTCATGTATACCCATGCGTAGAAATATACATGGAAAAACATGCCTTAGCATGACGTCATAAATGAGGTTACACCTACGGTAGTAAAAGTATTAGGATCTAGGACAGCCAGAAATTCAAATATTGAGTATATTTTTTTATGATTTCGCAAGTGAGTTAAGGCTACGTATGAAGGTTTGTATGAAAAATATTTAATTAAAACCCATAATTGCTATACATACCGCAAAGAAAATGTTTAAACTTGTTTCCTAATATATTCTTGGTAACCATGATAAAGAATAGCCAGTAGACATTTTGACGTCATATTATGACTTCATCAACCTGTACTACACAAGTTTATAAGAAACATCAACAAAATCGCTATGGTGCAAGGGCGTATTTTATATTGTTTTTGAGAAACAAGGTATAAAAAGACGCAGAATATTCGAATGACTTAGGATAATGCTGCACAAATGTCGACACAGAAATTGTGTAGTTACTATTTGTACCGTTCTAAGATGAAACAGGTTAAAATTCACAGTCCAGTGTAAGTTTCCTATAATTTTAATCAATTGAAAAAGTGCCTAAGATTTGTGCAGCAATTTTATAAATTTCAAGAATATTCTCTTGAATATTTTACATTATTTATTTTAAATCAAATAGGATATGCCCTTGCGCCGACGTTGTTTTGTTGATGTGCATTATTACTTTGCATGGGAAAGAACAATGACGTCATAATATGACATCATAATGTGCACTTGAATAAGTATACTTTGGGTACTACATATGTAAGTATGCATCAGAAAATCACTTTGAACTTTCTCCGTAAATAAAGTATACAATTTATGCATTTTTATTAAATCATTTACATAGAAAAGCTTATATTTAGCCTTAACTCACTTTCGTTGAGAAACTGAAAATGTAAACATAAGGAATGTTATTAAGTTTTGTGTGAATTATCGGTGTATGAATCACAAAGAATTGCGCGTAAGCATATTTTTCTTACAGCTATAGGTAAATTGCACTTTACGTTAAACACCAAACAGTAAATTAATTAATTGCACTTCACTGTTTCACAAAAAAAGACTTAACCAAAATCACAGTTCCATTTATTGCTGTTGTCGCAGTTCAAGTCAAAGTTCCATGTTTCTTTTGTATTTATGAAATGAGTACAAACTAGGAGAGCTACTCTGGTTCTGGTAAATCATGAAGACAGACTTTTTATTATCATTATTATTACAAGACTTTACTAGATTTTTTTTTTTTCAGAAATAAACAAGCTAAAAGATGACACAAAGGAATCAACTTCCGAATCTATTCCATATATCGGGTTAGGAGTTGGAATTTTGCTGCTGCTTGCTGCAGTTATCGTTGCTTTTATTTACATAAGGTATGAAGAATTAAGTGTTAATAGAACAAGAACACTTTTTAGTACATTTTTTCTTATCTGAATAGTTGATCGGGACTAGTAAATAGCAGTATTCCATATTATTTTTCCTTATTATTTATATATGAGTACTAGGGTACCCAATATTTTTCATGCGGTTGCTACCTGGTTAGACGTGTAAGCTGGTTATCTGACATAAGATTCCTTAATATTCTTTACCCTTTATCATACTGTGTTTGTATTGCGGTGATATTATATCAGTTGGACATTTCTTTGCTGATTTTTTTTCCTCATATACTGGAGTACTTAGTATTTTTACCTCTACAGAGTATTCCTAGTGGAAATAAATGGCTCATCTACATTGTTTGCTGTCAAAATTTAAAAAAAAAACATCTTTACATTAAAATGAATAATGGTTTAATGAAAGATTATAATAGGGCTCTAGAAAGAAAGACATACATATATCTTCTTTTTTATTGTTGATCTTAGCTGCAATGTGTTAAAGCAGAAGCAAGTAAATTTGTTAATATTAATAAAAAAAATATTCATTTTAGGAAGCGACATATTGGAGGAAAAAATAATCAACCCGAACATGAAGGTTTATCTATTTTTGAGCATAGAATATTTATCAATACAAAAAAATCTTTTTAAATGTCTTTTACGATAAGTATAATTATATAAAATTTTAACAATTACTCTTAGACTAGAAATTGTTACAGTAACTGTATTAATTTTATTAACTTTAGTTCATATACTTCATCAATTTACAAACAAATAAATAACTATATTTGATCTCTTAATTTTTCTTAAATATTAAAGTTATGCCAATAATACATGTCAGAAAAACCTTTTGTATAATTTTATTTTATTATATATTTCTGTCCAAAAACAATTATCAAATTGCATGACGTTTAGATAGTTAAATTTGGTATTTCCCCTATTTCCCCCTTATCATGGTTCAAAAAAGCAGCCGTATATTACTTCTCTGTCAATATTTTAAAACTGCAGTAAAGTAATAAATTCTTTTATAAAGGTGTAACGTTTCAACAACAAAGCCCGATACCTTTTTCTGTAATAGTAGAAGACCCGGAAGAAGAGCCAATAAGAGAGGACCCAGCAGAAGCTGTCTACTATACCAATGTATCGGCAGCTAAAAACATAGACGTAAAAGATTTGCTTTTGGTCATAGAAGACAGAGAACAGAAAGAAAAAGCTGGTTTTACCAAGGAATTTAAGGTATTACTCTCACAGCACACGTATAGATTATTATTAATTCTTCCGAGGAATAAGTTCCCAAAAATCAATCTTCAACTGTATTCCCTCCAAAATATGATCATTTATTATATTGTACTAAATAATTGAATGAGGAGTTATAAAAATAATCGTAAAACTTTCTTTTTGAATCAGATCTTGTTTCGAAAGGCATGTTGTATATGTAACAGCTGATGAAATAAAATCACTATTGATATGGTTTAAAATGCATGCCTCAACAAAACTTAGGTATCTGAGCAATTTTCTCATGTTTTTCTCAAAAAGAAAGCAGTAAACATGCTTCATCAACCTTTGTATTCTTCAATATGTTTTTTTCCCGCTCGCAATAGTTTCCTTTGTTGTTTTGCAGGTAATCTTACATTGCACAAGCCTCTACATTCCTACGTATTTGAACTTTGTTTTGAAATTTGGCGCATTTGAAAAGCAAAGTAAAATATACAAAATGAAAAATGTATATCTTAAACAGAAATTATCAGAAGCCTTTAAAATTTGAAATTAAAAGATTTATAAGAAGAGGAAGCTTTCTATTAGCCAAAGGTTAAGGAACAATAATTTATAGGTATTCGCTTTCAAACGTAAACATCGCAATTTTGTGCTTTGGTAGTTTGAACGTTGAGCTATCCTGAAAAACGATACTTTAACACTTGCTTTAAAATCAAATGCAATCGATGTTCCAAATGTTGTTGGGATGTATACAAGTAGGTGAATTGTGAACAAAAGAATACTTCTTGAATGAAATACATACAAAAACAAATTTTCTTTACATGATTGCTCGTTAATAATTCATAACAATTTAAATTAATCATATTTTTTCATGCCTTACCGCATTCAAGGAGCTTACTCAAATGATATGAATACATTTTTGTTTAAAGACTTTTCCGTTTAAATTACTTTCGTTACAGGATTTCATTTTAAAATCATTTTGTGAAAATTTGTATAAAAATAGCTTCAGTATATGAAATTAAGGTAAACCATACTATGTTCAGTTAAATGAAATCTATTGATTATTGAAACCATGTCGTTCAATATTCAAACACAAACAGAATAAGATGTATTGATAGGAGAGTTTTAAGATCATGCTTTCACAAATGAATGAGCTATAAAAAAAAATTATCTAAGGAACTACCATATGGGGAGAGGTTTGACTGTACCACAGCGAAATTAGAAGAAAACATTCCAAGAAACAGATTCAAAACAACTTTTCCATGTACGTATCAATCCTCCGAATTCAATTGGCTAGGGCAATTAAATATTAATAAGAAATATCCGTGATAAAAATATGAGCAACATCAGTAGCTCAATAATGGAAAGTCTGTTAGGTATAGAAAATAGATGTATGTTAATTGTAAGTCCTAGATGCATAAAAGTAATATAAAATCTTAAATTCTGGATTTTTAAAAATATTTGGATAAAAGGGCTTCGGGCGGACAGGATTTACTGAAAAACTATAAAAAAAATTGCTACGTATTTTGATGTATATAATTGTATTTTTTTCTTTAACTAGATAATCATTCGAGAGTGGTGCTACAAATTGATGACGAATTCAGTTCCGATTACATAAATGCAAATTACATAGAGGTTTGACAATAGCAAAGTACAAGAGGGAAGATAATGAAAATGGCATCAAACGATTTATATAGTGTTTTCTTTCAACCAATTTCTCCTTTTTTTCTGAAATTCAAATTTTCCTTTAAATAATCAAACTTTTCATCATTTCAGAATATGGAAGGTACAAGGGCATATATTGCTTCTCAAGGTTTGATTTTATTAAAGATTTCTTTTTACCTATTAAAGATTATTGAAGTAAAAATGCTAAAAATATAATGAAAGGTAGAAATATTTCTCAATATATATCCTCTGAATATATTTCAATATACTTTTCAAAACTGCCTTTCAGTAGCAAATTAATGTGTTTTAATTCATCATTGAACCAAAGTTCACACTAAACAATTAAAAATGCAATTATTTTCTCTGACTTTACAAATATGGATTTTGGTTGATGCGGTAGATCAAGTTAATTTTGGAATGAAAATAAATCAAAGATTTGGGTCTTGACAAAAGATTTAAAGTATTATGTATCATTATCTAAACAAAATGTCATTTTCTATTTTTAGGACCGAAAGAAAACACTTTGATTGACCATTGGAGGATGATTTGGCAAGAGAAAGTGGATTACATTGTAATGTTGACAAATCTTATAGAGGGTCGCAAGGTAATCAAACATTTTGGTTATAATAATTTTTTTTAAAGAAACTATTCCTGACTTCTTGTTTGCTTAAAACGGTTGTGTGTGTATTTTTAGCTCTCCTAAGCCGAAGGCTAAAGTGAACTTTTCTGATCAAAAATTGTCAATTGTCTGTTGTCGTCGTCGTCGTTGTTATTGTCGTCGTTATAAATTTTCATATTTTCGTCTTCTTCTCAAGAACCGCGGGACCAATTTCAAACAAATTTGCCACAGAGTATCCTTGAAGAAAGGGGATTCAAGTTTGTTTAAATTTGCCAAGCCCTCTTCCTAGGAAAGATGATTAAGAACATGAGCTGAAAATAAAAAAAATAAATGGCATCTTTTAAAAATCTCCACCAGAACCATTGGGCAAGCGATGTGGCCCAAGGGCATCTTGTTTGAATTCGTTTTTTCATACTTATCCGCAGGTATACGTGATTTAATTTATCATAATTAATTAACGAATGATGTTAATGAATTAAATGTAGATTATTTATGATTATAAAATCAAAGGCTTACAAATTAACTCATTTTGAAAACAACACATTTTCAAAAAACTTACTTTGAATTAATTTTTGGTCTTTCTTAGACATTATACTAATCGATATGAACTCAGTTTTTCCAGTGTAATTAAGAAGGAAGACCGAAATCATAATCGGGATCGTCATCATTCAATAATTCTGTTTGACAAACGATATACATGTAAGGACGGTATATTTAAAAGGGGATATATACACATTTTAAAGATTTCTTTCATTAATTTTTTTCAATCTATAGGTTAAATGTCACCAATACTGGCCGGATGAAAATGACAAATTAGAGATTGGATCATTTACAATACATTTGATAGAAGAGAAAAAATACGCCTATTTTATCAAAAGAACAATGACACTCCAAAAAAGAGAGGTACATATAAGTGACCTGTTCTTGAAATACAGAATAAAAGTCAATTATAGATAAGTTGTTCGACTGTCATAATTACTAAGTATTGTTCTACATGTAAATCCATTGTTTAATATAATATACATTTTTCTTACATTTAGCTATTTATTCAATTTAGCGAATTTCTAGACAACACCTTCAAATAAAAATCAAGGTTATCGTTATACGTCTTGTGTTTATATTTTCATATGAAGCATATTCTGAAGCTGTGCTAACATGCTGAAAATTAGTTTCAACCAAATATCGTACATGTATACGTCAATTACAAAATAAATATCATTTCTTTGAAGAAATATAATTTGAAATAATTTTTAAAGTCACGTTGAAGAAAATAAAACGTTATCCATTTTATTTTAGGTAACGAAGTCCCGGACAGTTATTCAGTTTCACTACACCAGATGGCCTGACCATGGAACTCCCAATCCTTTGAACCTTACTATTTTCTATGAACATTTTAAGCACAATTCCTTCAACTCAAACAATCCTGTCCTTGTCCATTGCAGGTATATTTATTTAGAAATCCCCGAATTCCATTGTTATTAAATTTGCTATTAATTATTAGTTCCACCATAACGAGAATCTTATTTAAATTGATTCTCATCATAAATACAATACACTTTAGTCCTATCGTCAAAGAGATTTGTGTTTAATAATTTTGAATGCATTGTCAAACTGAACAATTCGAATGTAAATCAATATTTATACTTTGGCTATACTTATATCAATTGTTTTTTTTCAAATTTTAAACCAATAAGTAGAATATAAACGTTTTATCACCAGGCAAGAATAGAATCCGATCTCTTTAAACTCTCCAGAATACACTGTAATGCTTCAAAATATCATGATAAACTATTTACTTATTTTTCATACTTTTACCTGACCTAAAATTCGTTTTGAAAATTTGTTTTATAAGAAATAATTGTTGCATATTTATTTTATTGTTATCTGTTTTTTTTTTCAAATGATTTTTATTATCTAATGGAAACATGTTTTTGGCACAATCTACACTTTCAAAAATAGTTTCTAATCAACAATACATGTCCATAGCTTAAAGCTTGGAATATATTATTCAAGAAGCAACTTACCTATAGCACTGTTCAGGAAAAAGTTCAATATAAAATCAGTAATGTTTTGATTATGTTTGCTAATTAAAGTGCAGGTGTTGGTAGAACAGGCACCTTTATTGCTCTCGATGCATTAGAAAAATACGGAAGAAAGACGGGAAAGGTGAATGTCATAGAATTTGTCAGGGCGATGAGGAAAAACAGAATGTCCATGATTCAAAACATTGTGAGTGTAATTTGTCATAATTCTCTTTAAACATAATTTAACATTCACGACGGCAGGATATATGTAACTGTTGTCAAGTTTTGTTTATTTTTTGCAGGATCAATATATTTTTCTGTATCATGCACTCTACGAGACCTTCAGAAGGAAAAGTGTGTTCATTCCGCGACTTGATTTCGCAAGGAAATTTTCACAAACTGATAAACGAGAGACAAGAAAACAAATAACCGATGAATTCAACGTAACTGTTTTAAAATATTTTTTCCTGCTGATATTATTATTTTTTTTTGTTTCTCTGTTATCTTTATAATGGGATGACTTTGATTTGATATTTATGATGATTCTGAGAAATTTACATTATTTTTTTTTCAAGGATTTAACTAAGCTGAAACCGAAATATGACGCCAGTGACTACAGAAGTGGAAAGAAGTATCTGAATATGAACGCTGTAAAAACGATTCTGCCCGGTAAAACCTCCCGATTTACCCCCCTTTCAAAACTTAAGATAATTCGAGTTGAGATTTGTTTTGTTAGTGTATAATTATCTGTAATGTCTAAATCTTTTGTCTACTTGTTTGCCTGTCAGTGAAACTGTATTTGCTAACATTTTTTTAGAAAGCATATCCTCTAATCCCCCACCCCCAACACACAGAAAAAAATGATTAAACTCAAGAAGTTTGCTACTATACTCTGTCCCACCAAGTTACTGTAAGCACTTTTCGCATAATATCTCAAAATATATAAATACCTTGGCCTTCAACCCGCTTCCGATCGATAGATCATTTTTTTTCCAACCTTCCTCCGTTTATCCGAACCCTCGAGGTCAACCAGTGTAAACACACGGCGGCAAATTCAAAGTCTACGGGGATTTAACATGGTAAACTCGTCCATTAGCGTCTAGAATACGGGGCCGGGAACCAGTTTTCGAAGGGAGTAGTCGTTCTTTGCAAAGTAAATTTCCAAAAAATCGTTAAAAATTAAAGGAATTAATTTAAATTGCTTTTATTGATAATATAACTTTTACTTTGAATTAAAATAGATTTTAACAGCATTTAACAAATTTAATTATAAACTACGAGAAAATAGTCCGAATCTAACGAAGTACAACTTGTGGATAATGGCTGTTGACATGATGATGCAAGCTCGCCAGGCCCAGTGATTAAAACGTAAGTTGTTTATTTATTCTATGGTATTTTTGGAGCTGTTGTTGTTTTACTAGCTTATATACACACAAGAAAGAAGTGTCTACTCTACAAATGCTAAGAATATATATATTTCAAAACGTGTGATATTGCTGACATTAGAACAACAGCTCTCTTGTTAGTGCTCATGGTTAACCGTTCATGTTCTGGAACGGTCTGTATGTAAGCCCATGTGTGAAAAATGTAAAAGGGGTGTTTCTATGATTATAAAAGAACACGAATATGGTTAAACAATTAGGTGAAATAATACCAATAAGAAAATAACAGCTAGTTAACATAGTAACTAAAGTTTAAAAATTTTATTCCTACTTTCATTTTCCAATTTATTATAACATTTCATGTACATGCATTTGGCAAATAAATAACAAGCTAGAGATCTAAAGTGCATTTTTATTTTTTCATTTATGTGTAGTATCAACACCCTGAGGACATCAAAACAGAGTTTTCAATAGATAACACATTTTGGAATTATTTTTCAAAACTTTTTGTAATATTAAAATGTGCATGTATTTTTTCATCAAGTGTTTGGATTGAGTTCTAGTATAATGGTCATTTATGTACATGCATACATATTGATGAATTAATTAGCAGAAACAGGCATAAGGTAGATGAATATGCAGGTACTGTTTCAGAAAATAATGATTTGTCTTGACCTTGCAGTTTAAATGGAAAAGTAATTATATATGTAGTATTCATGAAAGGAGTCCCGTGGGGATCCAGGTTAGGATAGGTCCTCAGTACCCCCTTGCTTGTTGTAAAAGGCGACTAAATGGGGCGGTCCTTCGAATGAGACCGTTTAAACCGAGAACCCGTGTCACAGCAGGTGTGGCACGATAAAGATCCCTCCCTGCTCAAAGGCCTTAAGTGCCGAGCATAGGCCTAAATTTGCAGCCCTTCACCGGCAATGGTGACGTCTCCATATCAGTGAAATATTCCGGAGAGGGACATTAAACAGTATACAATTAATTAATTAATTATTCATGAAAGGAAAACAGAAAAAAATAAATAAAAGAACATGTCTGAATAATTTGATCAGCATAAGAAGTTAAGATAAGCTGAACCATTTCATCTGAGTACAGACCTTAAAATAAAATTGATATACATGTAACATCAGAGGGAAATTTCCATTAATACTAGCTGTCATGCACATATTCAGAGTTCAAATTCTCAGTCTGGTTATCTCGAAAAAAAATTTTGATTGCCCTGTCCCAACCAACTGGCTAAAATGACTCAAAACTTTTTTTTTAATCTCCAGGAAGTAAGTAACTTTTTTTATATTCTGGAGAATAAATTATTAATTTATGATTAATTTTTCTGAGAATAATTTTCTCATATACCTTATTACCTACCAACCTAATCATGAGTTGGGAGAGGGCAAGACTATTTTAAAGCTGCACATGGCCTCAACAGCATCGTTTTTATACGCCCGTCTTAAGACAGGACGTATTATGTTACAGGCTTCGTGTCCGTCTGTTCGTCCGTCTGTCCGTCCGTCCGTCTGTTAGCTTTTCTCGTGTCCGGCTCATAACTTTAATACTATAAGGCCTAGAGTTATCAAACTTTGTCAGCTGATACATCTTGGGTAGAAGGTGTGTCGCGCACAAAAAGTTGGTCGCTCTGACCTATAATTAAAAAGTTATAGCCAAATATGGAAAAATCCTGTCCGGTCCATAACTAGAAAACTGTTAGACTTAGAATCATCAAACTTGGCCAGTTTATGCATCTTAGGTAGAAGGTGTGTTGCGACCTATTTCAAGGTCACTGTGACCTTTAATTTAAGTTGAATTTAACAAAAAAAAAATGTTTTTTTTTATTCATTTACACATTCAAAAAAATGTAAAACTATTGCACTAACCTTACTAGAAAAATGTTAAATCAAGAAAATACATATTTTTATAGCATATACTTGACAGCAATCTATAACAAATATAATGTATGTTAGAGAAATTCCACCACCCCCATGAGTCTAATTATCAAGCACTGGTCAATAAGAATTTTGATAACAGAAAATTGCATGTCAAATTAGAGAGAGAAATTAATGAGTTTAGTGTGAGGAGTAGCTGTAAGAGCATCGGTGCTATCTATATCCCTTGAGTATTGGGCCAAATGGGTAAGCCTGTTGGATTAAAAATAGCTCTTGTTGGCTAGCTGAAGTTTTAAAATGAATTTGATGAGAAGTAATTAAAACAAATTTGATATTGCATATTAAACTATTTTGATATTACATAATATTATGAACTTAAAAATTAATTTTATGGGGGTAGGGGTGGAATCTGCATGTCCATATGAATTGCATATTAACAATTAAGTGTCTGACATTAAATCTAAAAAAAAATCATTGATGTTTTATATGTTTTAAAAATGTTTTCTGGTAGATAGTGCAGATCCAATAATCTTTTGGGAGTAATGAGTAGACAAGCATCCAGTTAAAGATTAATTAATGTGTTCAATGTAGGAAGGCTAGCTGCATGTCTCTTTCATTTCTTCAGAGCATGGTCTTATCTGTATCCTTCGGGAATTAGACAGAAGAACTGTTGGTCACTTTATATTTGATGGCCAGCCTTTTATTTCCGAAATTAACTAGGTATAGATTAAGTTGTGAAGACTAATTTGATATCGTTTAATATGATAGGCATTTGGCAAGGTATAGAAATCTATGAATGATGCAATATTTGTTATAATTATAATAATCCACCACAGGAGATGGATAAACAAATTTTTTAAGGTGTGTAAAAATCATTGAAATCTTAAAATCACTTTTAACTGTTTAAGATACATTGTAATTGTAATTTTTTGACGGGCGTATCATGCTGTGGCGTGGCACTTTATTTTTCTGTAAAGTCCTATACTGCTTAAATGTGAGCTTAATTTGAAAATTTCTGTTTCCTTAATCCCTAGATTTTCATTTAAAGTACTTGTTTTAAAAACCATAGGCCATGCTAATTATACCCCCGGCAAACGAAGTTTGGGGGGGTATATAGGAATCACCTTGTCCGTCTGTCTGTGCAATCGTGTCCGGTCCATATCTTTCTTACAGAGGGACATTAGAATCTACTACTCCACACATAGATTGCCCATGACCTAAGGGTGTGTCATGACCTTGACCCAAGGTCATTTGGGGAACTTCAAGGTCACTGGAAGAAAAATTTCATAATTCGTGTCCGGTCCACATCTTTCTTATGGATAAACTTGGTAGGTTCTCATTTCACACAAAGATTGCCCATGACCCAAGGGTGTGTCATGACCTTGACTCAAGGTCATTTGGAGAAGTTCAAGGTCACTGGAAGAAAAATTTCATAATTCGTGTCCGGTCCATATTTTTCTTATGGATACACTTGGTAGGTTCTCATTTCACACAAAGTTTGCCCATGACCCAAGGGTGTGTCATGACCTTGACCCAAGGTCATTTGGGGAAGTTCAAGGTCACTGGAAGAAAAATTTCATAATTCATGTTTGATACATATCTTTATTAAGGAAAAATTTACTTCTGAAAAACCCAGCGGGGGGTATTTTGTCCCGTTTGGACAGTTCTAGTTAAAATATTTATGTTTGATGTACTCTGACACATATTTTTCAAGGTGGGTAGGTAGGTATCTTTTTTTTGGCTTAATAGTATTGATCAAATTGATATCAAAGTGTCATTAAAAAATTCCAGACTCAGAAATTTATTAATATTTTCAATACACACTGGATATCTAGACAGATGAAATATTTATCAATAAAAAAAATTTAATCTAAAAGCATCCAGTAGAAATCACATACCACAATTTTAAAAGGAAACAGTATCTATTTCTAATAAATAAAACATTTTTTTTAAAGAAATCAAAAATTCAAAGTTCTGAAAAAATGATTGGGTTGGAGTAGTTTTGATGGGTCAGTCTGAGTACATCAAAGAAATTTGTTTATATTGTTGTCCTTATTTGCTAGTACTGTATTTGGTTGACTTGAACTTTGACCTACTTTACAAAGATACCCCAGAAAATTTAAATTAACTAAAGACTTTTGAATATTGAGTGACGGGTGTTGATAATTAACATTAATTTTGTATATGTTTATAAGCTCATAAAACTGTTTTTTTAAACTGTATGATATTCAGTAAACCACACAAACTGATATCTTAAATATTATGAAAATACATTGGGATGGAATCCCACAAAGTGGATCGTGCAGTAAGACAATTGCTCTGAAACACGTAACACATGTAAAATGAAAAATAATTATTTATGATGATTTTAACTTAAATATTCAGTTGAGGGATGCATTCTGTATATGCTAGTAGCATAAAAATAGCTGACCACTCTTAGATTTTATAGATACATCTTTAAAGATGCTAAAAGCAGGTGACATATGTGTTCCTTGGAACACTATAGTTTATAATGAAATTGATGTCCTGTACTCTTTTATGACACTTTATCTTCTTTCAGCAATGTTAAGCTTGATTTAGCCACTGCAGTATAAGGAGAGAAGCAGACCAGAAACCTTTGACTAAAGCAAAGATGATATGCATAACAAAAGCAGTAAGTTTACTATAATATTCAAGATCTTCAAAATATCCTGTCTCTTTTAAATACATGTATTGAGAATGATTTTTTGAAGCTCTGAGCACCTGTCAGATGTGTATACATGTTACAATTTTCCCTCTAATCTTTCAAGTGTATATTTTTCCCTCAGCATTCGTAATCTTCTTCCAGAGAACTACTGGGCCAGAAAAGTTGAAACTTATGCAGAAGCATCCTGGGGTAGTGTAGATTCTAAATTATTTAAATTATGACCCCTGGGGTAGGGTGGGACCACAATAGGGAACTCAAGTTTTACAATGAAATATACAAGAAAAATCTCTAAAAAATCTTCTTCTTGGGAATTACCGGTACTAGGCAAGCAAAGCTGAAACTTATGAATCATTGTGGGGTAGTGTAGATTTTAAATTGCTCAAATTAAGACCACAGGGGTTAGGTTGGGTCACAAAAGGTATAACAAGGAGGAAATTTGGTAAAGAACTGCATGGTCAAAGCTATTCAGGTAATTATAAGTGATGTGGCTCATGAGCCTCTTGTTATATAAGTCGTGATATTTTACAGAAAATTTGAGAAAATATTAACTGCAAATCTGTGTCTAAGCACCTGTAATACTGCACAATCTCACCACTTGAAAGAATAAACAAACATTGATAAAAAGATATAATTATAACTGAAGCATAGAATATTTGATTATACTTTTATTACTTACAAAATTATGTTTTTATAGGTTGAATAATTCACAAGAGTCCAAAGTTTTGATGACCATGCAGAGTCGAGATATTGTAGCAAAGACATGCCTGCATTAAGAAGACTGTTCACTTGATTTTTCAGAATAAAGTGTCAGATTGAAATCCATCTTATGTTGGACTAAAGAATCAGGACATTCTTCTGGATCACAGGTAGTAAGTGTTTATATGAATGAGAAAGATTTTGCTCTTCCTATGTATACTTCAGACTGGAACCTGAAAATGAGAATTGACCAAATATATGTATTTTTAATAAGTAAACAATTCATATTAATATGATGAGCACGATCTGAATTTTTATTGTATTTTTAAATTTCACTTTGCACAAATTTAAAAGTATTTTTATGCACTGAAATCTTTATGACGAATTAAAATGTTTTATCATTATTTTTTTTTTCAGGCACAAAGTATTGACAAAACCAAAGATTACCTGGTAGTCTGCAAATGGAGTGATCATTGGATGAGCCACAACAAGATTTTCCTCGGAAATTTTAGAATAGAGACAATCTCCATCTTCAGTCATAGATGACTGATGTCGACATTTTCTCACTTCTGTTTCATGTCTTTTCTACAGCATGGACTCCAGCATCAATGGGCGCTTGACTTTTATAGACATTTATTCTTCTGATTTTGATCTAATATCCTTAAATATAGGACAAACAATTCATTTATCTTTTAAAATATTTTTAAATTTTACTTAATAAAATGATGAAAACAGTTCAAACAAACTAGTTTATCCTATAATCTAAAACTGTTTTATGTTTCAAGAAATTATAATTTTACAAGACTTAATAAAAATCTGTTAAGGTACTTGGATCCTCAGCCAAGAAGGATAACTCTTTAATTTATAATTATGACCCCCTTCGAAGAAGGGAAGGCATATTGCTTTGCTGCTGTCTGTCGGTCGGTCCACTTAGTTTCCGTTCATTTTCTCCGCAACTGTTGCACATACTGAAATGAAATTTGGTATACAGGTTTATCACATGAATATCTAAATCAAGTTTTGTTTTGGGTATGATTACACCATTTTTGACAGAGTTATGCCCCTTGGACTTAGAAAAATTTCCAATTATTTGCTGTTTCCTTTCACTTTTTTTTGCAGAGGTTGCACATACTGAAATGAAATTTGGTATGCAGATTTATCAGATAAATATCATGGTCAAGTTCTGTTTTGGGTACGATCGTGCCATTTTTTACAGAGTAATGCCCTTTTGGACTTGGAAAAATTCCAATTTGGGGGGAGGGGGGCATAAATGTTTTACAAACATCTCCTGTTCAATTCAGAATCTCAAAATGAAGCTTTGAAAATTAAATCTTTTCTTGCAACAGTTTTCATTTTATCATGATAATGTTTATAACTTCTCAGTGTCCTTTAAGGTTGTTTGAAGTTCTCAGAAAGGTCTTGTAAAAAGTCAAAATGTTTACCTTATATAGTAAAACTCTGTTAAAGAAAAGTCAATGGGACCTATGTAACTACTTTGCTATAACCATAACCATGTTTTATCCGTATAAGGAATTCATTACATTTACATAGCTGGGGATCCAAGGTTACCTCGCTATATCTGTGAAATCACAATATCTGTGTTCGTACTAAACAAGTTTTAGTGTAAAAGTATTTCAAAATTACTTTGCCCATTTTAGACAGGTATAATAAAATGATTCCAAAGTATTTTACAATTTTAAAAACAATTTTCTCAATATTCTACCATAAATAATTTTTAAAGATTCTAGACAAATTTTTGATATAAAATCTCTTACTTAAATTACTTAAATATGAATTTTATTCTTAATTCACATAATAAATAAATAAATAAACAGAAATAATGATATGACATTTGAGGGCAAGACAGCCCCTTAACAATGGGCCGAGACAGAGATATCTCGGCCCCGAGAGCAAGACAGCTCTACTCAGGCCCCAAAAAATAATAGTCTTGTTTCCTGTTACCCAACCTACCCTAATTTTTTGCACCTGACCCTCAAGTTTTTTAGGTTTGGAAAAAAATCTGGAATTTCCATAATTTCATGTTCCAAAACTGAAAAAAAAAATAATGTATATTCAAGTGGTATTTTATGATACACTATATGTTTTAAATATGGATTTTCATACCATACCACTTGAGTCATGCATCAAAAGACAAAATTTAATTTGTAATGAAAATATTGGTCTATGACATGTTTAATTTGGTTTTTTATTAGTTCATATCGAAAATAAAAAGAAATTAAAAAATAAAATAATTTTCCTGCCTACCTACCCAATTTTTTCCAGGCTGGTAGCAGGAAACAAGACAATTATTTTTTGGCCTTACCAGGCGCTGTCTCACCTAGTCCTAAACATCTGTATCAAGGCTGATACACTACTAGGTATATGATATAGGCACCGCATATATGCATGTTTGTGTGCTAGGGAATTGTCAATGATTAAACTTACTTTGAAAATTTACTGGGACTCAAAAATCAAACTTGAGAAACCTGCATTATTTCATACCTTCAATATACATGTATCTGTAGGTACTTATGGCTTAATATATATAATGTACATGTTTGTGCTTTTCTATCTTGTAGTTGCACCAGGCAGCTATTCAGATTCCTGCAATGAAAATTTTGTTCTGAAAACTCATAAAATATGCTATCTGTTAAATTGTTTTATTGAAATAGAGAAGGGAAAAAAATTATAATATATTTTTAAAAATCATAATCCTTCACACTTGCGTTATGTATTTTAATTTTATGTGTATAGGAATATTTTAAATCTTGGTATTGTGTTATATTTAAGGTAAACAAAAATATATATCCTGGGTCTGAATTTACCAAACACCGATATTACAGGAAGGTTTGGAAGGGCAAGGTCAAAATTCATTGGTGACGTAGTTTGATGCAGACAACAAATGTTGTTTAGCTCTATATTAAAAATAAAATATCAACGAAGGATTTATGTGTTCAAAGAGTTGGAAGTATAACAAAGTCAAGGAATACTGTGGTATGTGCATGTGAGGACATCACTTGTTCACATACTGTGACATAGAAACGATAAGATGATACTTATTTTGACCATGTGTTACAGTTTTTTAACAAACTATAAGGAGTTGGATTTATAAGGAAAGCTAAGGTGAAACGTTAAGGTAAGGCAGCAATTATAATTTTAAAAAATCTTAATACTAGTGATATTACTTTGATTGATCTCTAGCTAATGTTACGTTTTGACTGATAAATTATAAAACTAATTTCACTTGAGCTAAATTTGCAGTAGCCTAGCCTCGATTGTTTTATCGAAATGTTATGTATGAATTGAGTCATACCTCTTTGCCTTTATGCAGTGAATAACCCTTTTATGAATCTTTGGTCCCTTCGGTCTCGGTCTGGGTATGAAAGTTTTGTTGAAGACGTAATTTCTTGTAGTATAAATATATACTTGGAAGTCTCGGGCGTTATAGGTTTTTCGGACGTCGATAACCATAGAGCACTCCCGAACGTGTGTGACGTCATTTCCTTACTGACGGCAACGTACGGAAAATTACGAACAATGGATGATCCCCTTCCGAAGTGGTGGCCATTTTGACAATGTTAAATCTCCGTAGACTTTGAATTTGCCGCCGTGTGTTTGCACTGGTTGACCCCGAGGGTTCGGATTAACGGAGGAAGGTTGGAAAAAAAATGATCTATCAATCGGAACTGGGTTGAAGGCCAAGGTATTTATATATTTTGAGATATTATGCGAAAAGTGCTTACAGTAACTTGGTGGGACAGAGTATAGATGCATATTTCTGAATATAGCTTCTCATTTCAATTTTTATAATTTGTTTACATTCAGTGTAATTTTCTTAATGAAATTCATTTGAAATCAACGACGTTCCAATCACTTTAACACATACGGGAAACCTTGTCATCGCACAGTAGAATACACCACAGCAACTGTATACATTTTCGATACTTTGGGAACACCTACATGTATTTTGTTTGATCCTAGTTCATAATAACAACTACCCTGTTAAATAAATGTAAAATATAACAACTGTGCGTTTAAAATTAATTTGTCATTTTTTCCCTTGCGATACTCTTTTGTATTTTTGAACTCTCCTAAGTCGCAAACGTCTCCTACGTCTATTTAGCACAACGTCGTCGGTCCTATAACACACCTGGCCATGCCGGTAAATTATCACACCGCGCTAACGCGCTATATTTTAAAGTCTTATTATTTCTTTTATTACATATCAATAACGTAACTGTTTGATGTATTATGTGTAAAAAGGAGTAATATTTTTTTAATACTGGAAAATAATACGTTTGGATTTAATACATTATAATAACGCAATTTGTTATTATAGTAAACTGATATTGTAAATATACTGAATGAAAAAAAATACGCATGAAAGCATAATATGCGAAAAAAAATTGACTATGTCGTCAAAAATTCTGAAAATTAGTCACAGGTGTATTTTTGTTACTTTATAGTAAAATCGCTGGTCAAAACTACACAACCATGAAATGTATTGAGTCACGTAGGGAAAGTAATAAAAAGGCAAAAAACACGTGCATATTTATGATGACAATTTTGTGATCACATTTAGTAGAGTCAAACGATGCATTAGAGTTATAAACATCGTTTTTGCATTTTTACAGTCTCCAAATGTAAATATTCCCTTTAAAAACGTTTATTTCCTATTTTCTTTAAAAAAATATCTTACTGACTGCAGAGTCGTAATTTTTACAAACACAATAAGAAAAAGCCTGATGTCAACTTTTTTTTTCGTACATGTTAATATAAGTGTAAGAAGTAAAACAAAAGAATGCATGCTTCATCACGGATTTGTTACAGTTAACCTTTATTTACTTATTTTCTCTTGAAGTGTTCATTTGAATTAAATAATATTTTATCTTGTTCACGCTATACATTGAAGCATGATCAATTGTAATTTTAGTTGAACGCTACATCGTTTATTTGTCTTCATCATTGAGAGGGAGGGAACCTTACTACAACGCAGTTTCATTGTCGGTTTGTATAATAAATTCTCGATTTGTTTTAGCTTTATGTTAATATTTATTCAGAGAGAATTTAATTTTTGCTAAATTTTTATTCAGTCATTTACTAGTGCAGAGGAGTTTATTTCTGCGCAACATCCGGTGAATGGAGCTGGAGTTGACCTTCTTCACCTCTTGATAGAACATGCATCCCCGTTTTTGATTTCGATGAATCCTATTGAGAATATTATAGAGGTATCATAAAAAGAAAAATAATTTGAAATCAACAATGATCCTTCTTTGCAATATACTGTAGATTCCTAATTATACTTAATTTTGCGAGAAGCGTCACTCGCGAAAAAATATAACTCGCTTTTATTTATATGGTGGTGAAACATGTGTAAATTCTGTTGATCAACCGTCTATTCGCGAATTATAATTCTCGCGATTTTACGTTAAAGACCCAGTTCGCGATAAAAAGTAATCGCGAAAAATAAGGATTATACAGTATTATGATCAAATATCATTTGCTCTTTTAAAAATCTTTGATACTTTTCAATTACCAAAGGTAAGAAACTGGTTCAATGACAGCGAGAAAAGCACAATTGTTGGACCATTTGGAATAACAAAAGTTGAACAAAAAAAATTTACGGACGGTGTACGGAAAACCATTATCAAAGTGCAAAGAAAGCAGGCAAGTTTCTAATGTAATGAGAACTTGTTGATCTTGAAATGTGCATAGCTCTACTTTTACTTATTTTGCTCCTTTTGAAAACTTACAAAAGCTTGTATAAACATCTGGAAACTGTTTTTCAACAAGTATCTACTAACTTTTTCCTTTGGAATTATTATACAAATAAATTAAATCTATATTCCTCCACAATAAAAACATAATTATTGACAAGTTAATTAAACCGGAAAATATTCTACTGCAGTTTGATTTCTATACTATCACTAAACTACTACCATTTCTTTTCACAAAATTTCTTTTAATATTCGTTATTGAAAAACATGCTTACAAATTTGCAATGGTCTTGAATTTTACAAAAAATGGGTGTATTCGAGTATCTTCTGCAAAGAAATAAAATATAATACATTGTATATGCTTTACAATCAACAGGAAGAGCTAAATATTAACATTATCACATATGTGTGATAAGATCTAGAGGATGTGCTTTATATGAAAATCTTTTTAAAATAAAAAAAATTGGCCATTTTTATGTAATCTAATTCTAGATATTTATTTTATATAACTATTCATATTACGTTATTTCCCAAAATAAACCTTTTTCCTATAAAGTTTATTACATATCATTATATGCTGGTTACATGTTACTGGATGTTTTGTAATTAAGTTTGAATCAACGTGCTATACTTTAAATCAACTAAAAAATTCAAACAGTTCAATCAAGGGGTATACTGTAAATGTGTTATATTTGGCGTGTACAATATTTGGCGGAAATAGAATTTTAAACAAGTTGGCTTACATTGATTTAGCGCTTTTTGAATGTACTTTACAAAAACCTTTATACACAAAGCATTTAGCGATGTACTTGTTTAGCGAAGGCTGCTTTCCGCGAAAGGCGCTTAAAAGAATACACAGTCAAATGTGATACGTTTACAGTATATTGACTTTAACTTTTCCTTCCTACAATTTGAACCAATGACGTGAGTATGCTTTGTGAATATAATTTTTTTTTAATCAGGAAAAAGAAAGTCACAATATCCAAATTTTTGAATGTCTTGATTGGAATGCGACTGATATTTTACCAGAGAGATGTTCAACTCTAATAGAATTAGTAAAGCAGTTTTGCTTAGATAGAAGGAGGAATCCAGAGGGTCAAATAACCATTTTATCACGGTACTTATTTTACGTATTTCTTAATTCTTTAATTAAATTATGAAGTTGTTATTTATCTTGATAAAGAACTTTATTCGGTAATAACCAATATATGCCCCCCAAATCAAACTTTGATGAAGATATATCTAATTAAGTTCTTAAACAGGGGAGTATATGCTGACTTCAAAGCACTGAGTATTTTCATAAGTAATAACGCCATATGTACGTAATGACGTCACAAACATGACGTTAATTTCAGTTTTTTATGAATTTTACAGAAAAATGTACATATTTCGTCGATATTTTGAGTAAAAGTCACCGAGCGCATGTGTGTTCAGGATCAATATTTTGATATAATGTGTAGAATGATAATATCAATGAAATATGTCAATATTGTTCCTGAACAAACTTGCGCTCTATAAATTTTAAAGCTAAAATTGTTGTAATTTTGTCCATTTTGTCCTCTTTCTGAAAAAGGATATAAAATCGGACTAGTTTGTGACGTCATAAAAACAAAAATTGTGAATACACTGCTTTGACACTATAATATTTTCTGTTAATTCATATTTCTCATACATTTTATTGAATTCAGCACATTTCAGGAAGTTTTCAAAATTTGATTTTTGTGGGGGCAAATATATGTAATATACCGCATATAGTTCTTTACAGAGTTTCATGGAGTTTTTTGTTATTAAATGCATATTGATTCATAACCGGATCAATTTATTCTTAATGACCTGACAAAACACAATTAAGTTTTTGCATAGATAAACACATCGTATTTTTAGTCAAGAACTTCAAACTTATTTTCTCAATCTATATAGCGTCTATTAAAAAAATACAAGAAGAGATTTATCGTTTTGTTTATTTCACTGTAAAAATAGAGATAAATATATATTGTAAAGTAGACAATATAATTTTGTTAAAGTTTAATTTGATGTAATTATCCAAATAGGCAAACAGTTGCGGAATTCGGGTAAATGTCCTACTTGTCCTTTGAATTCAAATTAGTGCTTGTTTCAACGCAAGCATCATTTTAAATCCTTAACTAATTACTGTCATATTTACATGTGTACCTGTGTTCTGATTTTTTTCATCAAATAATAAGGTGTCACGTTCGGCCGTTACACTACCTTGTCCCTTTAATTGTGTAGCACAAAAACTAGTTTCATACTGTAAACCAACTTTTATTCGCGTGCGAGAAATATCCGCGACCTCCGCGACCTCCTTTAACTCGCGAATATTAATCGCCGCGAACCATTCATTCTGCTAAGAATTTGTAGAAAATGTTTCCTCGGTCGCGGAAATAAATCGTCGCGGATTGATTTTAAACTGGCGAATCGCGAATAAAAGATGACGCGAATAATAGTTGGTTTACAGTAGTTTTAATGATCAGATAGACTTGTAAATAAGATAAATAAAAATGATACAAAAAATAAATCATTGCAATGTTATTCTAAGATCAAGAGAGCCAAATATAAGAGATCACATATTGGAGATAAAAATATTGCGGAAGCACTGATTGTTATTTAATAGTGTGAGTGGCAACAGTGATAAATGGGGGACAGATCATTAAAAGAGTTCATACTTAATATTAGACTAATTATATCATTGATCCTGGTTATCCTACATTCTTTTGCTTTGGGGTACAAAAGCTTCATCTACCTGTTTCATTTTATGGATCCTCCGAGTTCTATGACACTCAGGTGACCGTTAAGGCTCTTGGGTGTTTTATTAGTAGTTTAAAGATTTGTTATTTGAAATGAAAATAACTTTTGCAACATCTTCTCTTTTAATTTACCATATACTGAAAGATTTAGTTTTTCAAGCCCAAAAATTTGCTGGCTTACAAAAAGCAACCGTCTACTATTGGGTTGGCCTCACAAGGGACACATGGTATACCAAACTACCCTCTAGCTAAGGGACACAATTCAATCATTTCTATATGCTATTAAATAGATAAATTAATATTATTTCGTTAAGGTTTCATATTAGATATATATTTAAATTTGATGTATTTTTCCAGAATGCCAACAACATGCGAGAAATGTTTTTACTCCAAATTTCTTTTGTAACAATTAAATTATCTTTCCTCTCTGAAGAAATATGGTATGATTATATCATACCATTTTTCTTCAGAGAGAAAAGAAGTTTTATTTGATCAACCAGTATTCTTGTATGTAGACATAAACATAAATTAAATACTTATGATTTTAAAGATGCAACGATGGTAAGACAAATAAATACAAAAATTCTTTTTATTTTATCAAAAGGGATGGTGCGACCTGCTGTGGAGTATTTATTGCTGTATATAACGCCATAGAACAGCTACAACAGGACGAGGAGGTGGACATATTTACCATAGTACAGCAGATACAGTGTAGAAGACCGGAAATGATATCTACAAAGGTATATTTTTACACAATAATAATGTTTTAACTTATATGATAATCAAAATTTTGATTTTATTATAAAAATACATGCCTTTATAGCTGTGTAATTTCACTTTCTCCGGATTACATACTTTATCGGATGATAAATAAAACAAAGTTATAAAATAGGTGGATTAAGAGGTGTATTTGTAAACTCTCAATTTGAACTGTATCTTGAAAAAAGTATGGGAAAACAGATAATAAATGTGTTGTTTCTTTATACAGGAAGAATACGAGTTTTGTTACAAGGCTGTTTGTGCATTCTTGGAAACCGAAAATATTTATGCCAACACCTCTAATTGAGACATAACGTATACCGCAAATATACTTACTTATGTAGTGTATTCAAATATATAGATCTTTGTACATGTTCATTGACGGAATGTTTCATGGTTGCAAATGCATTGCAATGAATATATCTCGGTTATCTTTCAGCGATTTCTTAGCAAGAATTCGGTTGTTTTTAACACCTTTGATATGTTGTTCAGATGTATTTGGTGATACTTTTTGTTTGAAAATCAATGATTTACTATAATTTTATTGTAATTGTGAGATATACAAACCACCACCAGGACTTTTTGATGCTTCATTTGAATTATTATTTAATGTTCATATGGACAAGGTTCATCTTTACATAAAAAGTGAATGTTTTAAAAACAGTCTGTTAAATTGCACTTTTGTTTATCCTTACATACAAAAGAATGTATCTGAGTGGATAACATATTATTTTAACTATACGCATAGCTTATGATCTAAGACAATTCCTTAAATAACAGCTTTATTGATATATACATGTACTTGTAAATGTCATACTTGCAATTTTATCTGAAAGTTTCTACATGTTTTGTGTAAAAAATAATTAGAAAATTATTCATTTTCTTGGGGATACATAGAGGCAAGCAATGCAATTCTTTTTAAATCCATTTGCACAGATTATGTACTCTTCATTTTCATAATTTTGATGAGACGACAAGCCACTTGACTGTACTTTGTCCTTAATATGATGAAATTATAATAAACAGCTTTTGAATCAATTCTACGTATTTTATATTAATATAAACCATGTTTATAATATAAAGATTGCTTATTTGAAACCGATTAGAGAAAGAACAACAACAATTATTTATGTTAGACAAACACAACATGAAAACCTTTTAGCACGTAGATATTTTTTTTAGACTTTCCTTTTTTGTAGTTTAAATTTGCTATTTGAATTAAAAATATCCTTTACATGCAGCCTCCTATCTGTTTACTTACCCTGGATGGGACTTCTCATGCACTTAAAGATTTAGTTCAGCAAGCTCAAACAATCGTATATATACTAAAGAAACCCTCTATCATTAGGTTGGCCTTACAAGGGTCAAAAGGCATACAAAACAACCCATTTTATCAGGATTTTCTTTACATTGTAGAAGGGACACAGTTTTTAGCTCACCTGAGCTGAAAGCTCAAGTGAACTTTTCTGATTACATTGTGTCTGTAGTCCGCCTGTCCGTCTGTAAACTTTTTACATTTTCGACCTCTTCTCCAGAACTACTGGGCCAATTTTAACTTAACTTGCTACAAAGCATCCTTGGGTTGGAATTCAAGTTTGTTAAAATGAAGAGCCATGCCCAATTCAAGGGGTGATAATTGAAAATTAGTGAAAATGTGATGGCATGTTTTAAAAATATTCTTCTCAAGAACCACTGTGCAAGGAAAGATGAAACTTATGGGGAATTATCCTTAGGTAGTGTAGATTCAAGTTTGTTCAAATCATGACCCCGGGGGTAGGGCGGGGTAATAAGGGACGATCAAAATTTTACAAAGAAATATATATGGAAAATCTTTGAAAATCTTATTCTCAAGTACAGCAAAGCCATGACTGGTCATATTGATATGAGAGCATCCATAATTAGTGTAGATTCAAGCTTTTTTAAATCATAATCCCGGGGATAGGGCGGGGCAAAAATGGACGATCAAAGTTTTACATGAAAATATGAAGGAAAAATCTTAATAAATTTTCTTCTGAAGAACATTAAAGCCTTGATTGGTTATATTTATATGATAGCATCCTCAGGTAGGAAGTGTTGATTCAATTTTGTTCAAATCATGAGCCCAGGGGGTAGTACGGGGTCACAATGGACGATCAAAGGTTTACATAGGAATATACAGAAAAAAATCTGTACAGAAAAACTTCTCAAGAACAGGAAAACCATGATTGGACATATTTTTTCAGAACATATTCAGGTAGTGTAGATTCAAGATTGATCAAATCATGATCAAATCATGACCCTCGGGGTAGGGTTGGGTCACAATGGACGACAAAATTTAACATAGTAATATATAGGAAAACTCTTTATAAAAATCCTCTTCTCATGAACAGCAAAGCCATGATTGGGCATATTTATATGAGAGCATCGAAAGATAGTGTAGATTTAGGTATGTTCAAATCATGACCCCCGGGGATAGTGCGGGACCTTGCGGGACGATCAAAGTTTTGCATTGAAATATAAGGGGAAAATATTTAAAATTGTCTTCAAGAACAGCAAGGCCATGATTGTGCATACTTAAATCCTCAGGTAGTGTAGATTCTAGATTGTTCAAATCATGACCCTTGGGGGTAGAGTTGTCACAAGGGACAATCAAAATCTTACGTAAAAATATTTGTGGAAAAACGTTTTTAAAAATTTTTCACGGACACAGCAAAGCTAGTTTGTCAAATAAATATGTATATTTTAGTCTCAATATGTAAAAGCGAATTGTTTTTTTTTTACCTGAGCTTGTCCTGTCCTTGAGGAGTTATACTCCTTTTCCTTAATTAATAAATATCAATTCAAGGGTTCTCCATCGTTTGAAATTTTACTGTGTTGCACAGTTTAGTCGAAGCACTAAAATTGAACGGTATTTTTGCGGTCAAATTTGGAACTGAATCACAAAAGAATACATGTACATGTAACAAATTAAAAAAATAATTCTTTACACAAAACATATGGTCGTACATATTGATAAAAGTAAAATACATATTCTAAAAAGCGGAGGATATTCTCTTCTTCGAACTATGGTAATTAATACTATGTTTCAAAGTATACTTGCGGTGATTTTTAAACATTTTTTTTCTTATCGAATTGCCGAATTTAAAAAAAGGGAATCGTCAGAATAGTAAAATAATTTTAAGAGTTCCTTAAAAATTTAAAACAATTTATTAATTTACATCAATTAAATGATTTCGGTACGATGTTATGTTTGACTAACCGTGCCAACATTATTCTAGAGCCGTAGTTCTATAGAAAAGACATTTTTAAATATATTTGTAAAATAATTAAATGTACTTTTTAATTCAATTACCAATTTTTCCGTTACATAAAGTGTGAAAACAATTTATTTGTCTTTGTTTCTTCATACGTAAAGGGTCCGGCGAGGGTCTAGGGGATAATTGATTTTGCAAGGTAAAGCCCTTATTAAGTGCTCTAACTTTTAGAATTGAAAGACGGTAGAATTGAATGATTAAGGTTTCAGTTAGAGAAAATTTATACGTTTGGATTTATCGATAATCACAGATCTTACTGTGTCGGCAAATGTTTAAAAAATGAGACACACTCATAAAATTTGAACCGTTACTGTGTCGGAAAAATTTTACTGTGATAGAACCAACACAGTAAAACAGCTCATGTAGAACCCTGTAATTAAAAAAAAATCAATCGGGGTTAGAAATGAATTTTTAATTGTTTTTCCATTCTCTATAGTTATTTTAACTTTCGACCATGCCATTTCTTGATATCCTCGGTATTTAATGTTTTACCTTAGAAAATTGCTTTTCCCCCAAAATTCACCTAGAGATCCTTTTCTACTCTGAAGTTCTTTGAATTAATTTCAGAGTATTTGATACAGAGTCGATATACGAGGTAAGGAAATTGTGTCTTATTATGAGTCGGGTACCTTGAACCTCCTATTTTAGTTAAAATTATTATCTTGTTAGGTTGCTCATTTTTTTTAAATCTTCATCTTGCTTTTTATAACACTTCTCTCTATTTCTCGCTGCATATCCTGTACATTTAAAGAACTCGGTTCACTTTCTATTATATTTGGCCCTGAGAATTTCCAAAAATTATGTTTAAACTGAATCAAAACTATATAGTGGAAATAAATGTTGGATATATGCTAGCTTAAAATATATATCAAAAATTTGAGAATGTGTCCCCGATTAACTATTTAATGGGGGTCAAAACATGCATGGAATGCGTATTTCCGGAAAAATCGTTAAAATTCAACTACTTAAAAGCATTTTGCAATAGGTGCCCATCATACCACCACTTTGAAATTTTCTCAGTTGAAACAATGGTTTAAAAGCATTCTTTATGCAAAAAATTGAGATGGTGATATTGTGGGCACCATGTTTAAGTTAACAAAACACGTTTTAATAAGTTGACGAATTTCAGGGCAATCAGACGTAATTGGACTAAATTGTGTCAGTAGCCAATTTTTGAGTAACTTCTCTCAATCATTTGGCGAAAAGGGGAATTTTAGTTTCATACCTTGTTTATTCTCAGAAATAAGGACGATACATGCCCGCATTGTCGTTTTCTGTGTGACCCCCCCCCCCACCTCCATACCATCTAAATACGCAATATAGCAAAAGTAATATAGGCAATATCTTTAAAATAGATTTATTCTCCTATTTATAAAGTTCAATATTGCATATTTTTTAATTGTCTGTTTGGATAATCATAAAGATATAAAATCATTAAAAAAAAAAACATGAAATTTTACTACTTTCACTTTCGCGTCGTTGTAACCAGGCAACTGTACATAGTCTGGGAATATTTCATGCAGAGATAACAGAGTTCCGAGAATGTGACGCATGCAGTCATACAGTTTTTACAGGTGAGTAAAAAAAACATTCCTTTTGCTTGAAATTAGGCCTAAATGAAGATTTTGTGTATGTGGAGAAACAATCTGTTATAATTACTTGAATCGCCAGCTCAGTTTTGTTCAGTTTTATCTGAACAGATCACGATCATATATTTTGCATGTCAAACGATTGAGCAGTACTATGTACAAGTTATTTGAATCAATGCAAAACAAAACAAAAAATAAACGGTGCTTAAAATGTATAATTGTTTGTTTAATTTTATGAACTAGGAAATGTACACAATTTCATTTCTTTATAGGTATAATATAATAACATGTACATAAAGGCCTAGAGGTAAAGGGCTGAAGTAAAAGTCTTTAGAACTAGGCTGTTTTGGGTTCCAACCAAGTGTTGGCTTGGCTCTTGGTTATAAATCATCTGATGTATGTTATATGAATACCGTCCCGTCATGTGTTTTCGTGGTATATGCGTTTTCGTGGTATTTTTTATTTTTAGGAATAATCCCACAATGCGAGATCGGAATGACGTCATATTTGCTATTAATAAAAGGGAACCCTGTGCATGTTCTATGACCACATGTTAAACCTTTTTGCCTTTGCCAAAATAAAATATAGCGAGTGAGTTATGCATAGTTCGCAAATTTGACAATTTGCGTAATATCCGTTTATTCGTCGTGTTTTGAACTTGAATATCAAACTTACAAACAAATAGCCAGCGATCCTGCATATCATCGTCTGTTAACTATCCATACAGCTTCCGGTCATGTGACAATAATTTGGAATTTCCCACTTTTGATATTTTTTCTACGGTGATCTAGTAACGTCATTTTTTATATAATTTTCAAAGAAAATATGGGGGGTGTTAAAAAGTTATATGCTGAAAAAAATATTATGCCATTGATAATTTATTAAATTAAACATTTCATTTCTTTAAGTATGCATTGAATTTATATTTAAAAACATGAAACATTCAAATAAAGCTTTACAAAATTATTTATAGGCCACTCTTGAGAAAGATAATTTTTTTTTTACATTATTTAGCAATACAGCTTAGGCTTACAGATAGATGTGGTCTTAATTAACAACAAATAAATTTCCATGTCAAATAATGTAATCATTTTGTCAATTAACTAGTATTTTTGACACTGTAAAATTTATAAGGATTTTCCCCGACTAGGTTTCCATAGTTTACTTGTTTAATAAATACCACGAAAACATATGACATAGCAAAAAAATCGAAAGAGCAACTATGCAAGAATTCAATGACCCTCTGAACAAATAATAAATGATATGTGAGTTAAAATCATTTTATAATAAGGAGAATTATTGTTTGTATGTGTGATAAATCACAAACATCTCAATTATTCAGTCTTGAAGCAATTTATTACAAATTAACCGTAATGCCACGAAAACTCATGATTCGAGGGTACATGTATTTAAGTTTCCAGTCATTGGATGCATTCATGGATAAGTGAATAAGCATAGCTAAAAAAGGCCTATCATTTTATTGATTATTTCATTTATGTCTATGATTATTTAGATGTGCAGTCGACTTGGGTGAAATATGACGTCATAATCATTTTACGTTATAAAACAAGGTCACGCACTTTCTCTGGTAAAGAGCATCTATAGGTCTAGATCACAGGCACCTGACGTTACTTTTTTTCTTTTAATAGAAAAATAGACACATACCTAATAATAATTATTATGTATGTGTATAATTTTTCATTAAAAGAAAAATAAGTAGCGTCAGGTGCCTGTGGTCTAAATGCATAGCATTTTAATTTTAAAATAAGAAGGCCATTATTTGAGGTAACCCAACATAACACTTTTTTCTTGTTCATTCTTAAAATATTTGTATTCTGTTTTTACCGGCCGCCAGGAGGCTGTTGGTTATATGATATGAAAGTTCGAAGTCGCTGTGCGTGTCTGCGGAGTTAAAACAATTTAAATAAAAAATATTTAACATCAATATAATAGTATATTAAAAAGAGCGTCTAAATGTTTAACAAGAACGCTCAATAAACGTAAAATTAATTCATTTTTATAAAAAATGAGGCAAATATTTCACCCAATCCTGATTGAGAAACTTAGACATGTCTGAGGTGCGGAGAAAATAAGGACATGTGCTGGGCATGGTCTAAAGCAAAGACCGCGTTATATGTATATTACACAATTTTACTTTCTCCATTTAAACAGGATTTGCTGTACTTATTTATTTTAAAATAACGTGTACACATGTACATATATAAACATTTCAAAAATATGATTAAATGTTAATTCATCGAAAGACCTAGCAGGCTACAGAATATTACGAGATTTGGTCCTTAGCAGACGAGGATAATGCACGTTTTACAATGTGCCAAGAATTTTCCCGCTACAACTCAAAGAAAATGTAGTGGCGGATCTATAAGGAGCCCCAAATATTTGTTGCGTTTTTATTAAATTAAAACTACACTGCATATCTAGTTGTAGATTACAGTAAACTTTAGTTTTAAACTTTTAATGTAAATGCCTCTTAATTATAAAGACCCGAGGTTTGTTGACGCAGAGGACCAGGGGTACTTTTCTAATATATAGTTATATTGTAAAACTGAACATGCATTATATAATTAAGAAAATCATGCAATGTCGTGCACAAGCGTTTAATGTCACGATGATATATATCAACAGATAAATAAAAGATATTTTAAAAACAGATCACCATTTCAGATTTTTATAGTTGATTCATAAAAGGAACAATAATTATTAATTGGTTTGCGGCTGATTTTTGACGCTTGCGTCAATATATGTTTCTTGTTTCTTATTCTCGCAAATCTTGCTCAAAGATATACACTACGACCGAATACAAATTGCCGTGATCCACTGGTTACATTCTCTAAAACGTGCGTTTTCATTGGTTGATTAGATCCCGCCCACTATAGATGAAAATTGTTGTGATTATGAAACGTTCTTCAGATAAAGTCAAAGTATTCAAGCCGATCTAAAATGTTGACTGCCAAGCAGACAATATATGCTTCACAAATGTGTAATGTACAGATTTGAAGATAAAAGAATACTGAATAAACAATTTGCACCAGTAGTTTCAGTGAAAATTTCTGAGTCTGTTTCATGATCCTAGAGCCTGGACATCTGATAAACAGATACAAACAAATTGACAACTCCAGTAATTATTGTAACGCACACCCAGCTGATACTGAAACACTTGTTAGGCTATTGAAAAAAAATATAAACATTGTATGTGTCCGTAGCTGGTAAAACACGTGCAACATCGGAATTATTCAATTAAAGGTCTGCAGTATTATTGTCACAATTGTTAGAATTACCATGTTTCAAAAGAGTGCCAGTGCATGCCCATTTTAACGGTCGTCATGACAATAAATAAGCGGGAAAAAATATAAATCGATTTCACCGTGTTTTTTTTCTGAAGTGGAGATTTTCCCGTAACGATGGAATGATTTTTTTTCCCCGAATTTCACACATTTTTCAATTAGTTTAAAATCAGTGATAAACATCGTACATACTTGCAATATAAAACAATGGCGGGGGGGGGGGGGGGGGGGGTCAATCGCGTAAATATATGCCCCGGGCAGTAACCTGCCAATCCCAGTACAAAGTTTTATTTCCATTTATCAACACTCACAATAATCTCATAAAATATTGCATGTACATTATCCCACTTTCTCGCCAAGAGAAAATGTTAACATAGAAAGCACAGTTTTCCCTAATTTCTATTTTTCTTGAAAACATTCCATATTTGAGAATGAGGGCGGACCTTTAAAAATGTACCGATAAGATTCCTTGTTGGATTTAGCTATTGGTCGTCGGTTAGATTCTAGTATATATGATACATCATGATCATCCGCTAATTTCTGAGATGTCGCATCTCTTGTTTATTGATGAGGGTTCTTTTTCAAGTGGAATTAAAAAATTAATTAACCCATATTTTTCTAGGAAAAGAATCAAGTTTGTATGAAGGGCATATCTCGCTAAGATAATATTCCGCCTACAATTTGTCTGTTTTTCATGTTTTTCCCCTGAGTGCTATTTGGTTTATCAAAATATTGTAAATAGGGCATATTCCCGCTTATACCAGTAGGGTAAAAGAAAATGTTGAATTAATAAATTGAATTAATATTGATAATTTTATTTCTTTTTAATAGAATGCCACGGACAAGGAAACGATATTTCCATTGTATTCTCTGTCAAAAAAGAACAAAACCCACAGACAGGCGAAAAATAACAAGAGAACAAAAACGAATATTACAAAGGCACATTTTCTCTGTTACTGATGACGATGTTTTATGCAGTAACTGTCGCATAAAATGCAACAAAAATCTTAAAAAGAAAACACAACGTAAAGAAGTCACACATGCAGGAAATGACAAAAACTTCTCTCCACCTCATGAAAGCATTTCAACTTCCAAATATGTCAGAAGCCCTCCATCTGTTACGCTTCCCTTTCCATCAACTTCTACCAGCCACTCTAGTTGTTTTATTTGTCGGAAGCCTGGACCAAAGTTAGTGGCAGTACCCGCAAGTGCAAGGAATTCTGTTTTCTTGCAACGAAAAATTCTTATTCCTTATGGAACCAGATGTTGTGCAAAGCACATTTTGAACGATAATTTAACTGCCGAGTCTCTTGAGGAAATATCTGTCATTTCTCAAGCCTCTAATGTTAACAGAAGTTCAATAACTGATATTCTGTTGTATATGAGAGAAGTTGCTTTGAAAAATAAAGCCTCAAGAATCGATTTTGACAACGAAGAAAACTTTTCTGATCAGCAATATGTCCGTCTAACTGGACTTAACAGAGCTTCGTTTCTTGATTTATTATCCCATATTGATGGCAAAATAAATCGCACACCTGTGCGAAGTCAAAAAAATAGCCTTGGAATTTTCCTTATGAAAATGAGGTCTGGATTAAGCAATGACGTATTATCTTCAATTTTCAATATATCTAAGGCAAGCATTCGAAGGGCTATTTCAGCAGTAAGAAGTGCGTTAATGGAGAGTTTTGTTCCACAAAACATCGGCTTCTCTCACGTATCTCGGCAAGAAGTCATCAACCGACATACGCGTCCACTTGCTGAATCTTTGTTCGGAGGAACCGGTACACAAGCCCTGCTTGTCATAGATGGAACATACATCTTCATCCAGAAGAGCATGAATTTCACCTTTCAACGAAAAAGTTATAGTCTGCACAAAGGTCGACCATTGGTTAAACCCATGGTAATTGTTTCTACCAGTGGATACTACATCTCCGTTTTAGGACCTTATCTTGCACGAAACAGCGATGCTACAATATTAAATCATATAATGAAGACAAACAGAGAAGATGTTTTAAACTGGATGGAAGAAGATGATATTTTCATTGTGGACCGGGGATTCCGAGATTCCATAGAATACCTCGAAGAGCTTGGAATTAAAGCATGTATGCCCTCCTTCATGAAAAAAGGAGAGAAACAGTTATCGACACAGGACGCCAATACAAGCCGCTTAGTTACGAAGGTATTTTTTGCATTGAAAATAAAATATTTTTTAAATAAAATTATCTATTTAAAATTCAATCAAACTCAAGTGTAAATTCAGAGAAGGAATTATAATTTTAACAATACGTAGTTATCAATGTCATCATTTTAATGTATTATTTCAAATACGTGTAGTATCATTTTCACTAGATACGATGGGTCGTTGAATCTTCAAATGCACGGATTAAGAGATGGAAGTTCCTCGATCGCATACTACCCACCAGCCAAGTACCATACATCGGCGATTACATCAAGATCGTGTGCTCGATCTCCAATAAATATTATCCACCGCTGTCCACAGGTTTGTTTCAAAAATAACCCCCCCCCCTCAAAAAAAAATCTGAAAGTATAATTATGAATATTAAAGATGACTATGATTCAGAGGCGTAGTCACAAACTTAAAAGTGGGGGGGCTCAACTTCAGAAATTCTTTGACAAGCAAAAGAAAAAAAAAAAAAAAGCCAAACTTAAAAGTGGGGAGGCTCAACTCCAGAAATTCTTTGACAAGCAAAAAAAAAAGAAAAAAAAAAAGCCAAACTTAAAAGTGGGGGGGGCTCAACTCCAGAAATTCTTTGACAAGCAAAAAAAAAGGGAATGTTGCCCCAACTCGAAAATCCTATTTCGTGGGGGGGGGGGGGGGGGGGGGGGGGCCAACTTTTTTTCAAAGGCAAGTTACTTTCAAATCCAATTATACAAGGCTCAAAAAGTGGGGGGGGGGGGGGGTCCTTTCAATGAAGATTTCGTATAGTAAAGGTAATGCTGGGGTTAATTAGCTGTGATTTGGTTCTTCTTTAAAAAGTGGGGGGGGGGGGGCACAGACATACTCTTGCCCCCCCAGATACGAAAGTGGGGGGGGGGGCTAGTGCCCCCGCTGCCCCCCCTGTGACTACGCCTATGATGATTACAATGTTTCAAGTCACTATACATGTATTATTAATAAAAAAAATATTCTATTAAAAGTAGATAGTTCGATCTACTGATAATAATACATGTACTACATGTGCAGGACATTTTGAAAAATAATTAAAATATTTACACACAGGTGATGCTAATGAAGATCTTGCCACAGCCTCTAAAATGAAATACCTGTCAGCTCAAGTCAACCATTTAAAGGAAGAGGTTGAATCCCAAAAGCTTAACTCTCGAACTGCAGTGTGGAGACAAGCAGGTGAAATTGAGAACTTCCCACGCCTAGATGAGGATGACATAAGAAACATCACTTGCGGGACCTATCAACTTAAGCTATGTAAAAGCTATGCCGAGGAACATTTTCATGGCGGGGCAGATATCATGGTTCACAAGGATGACTCTCATCTTGTAAGAGTCAAGATTCAAAGCAGACATGTTTCTGCTAGGTCATATCTTCTATGGATTCGTTATAACGAGTCTAACATAACTGCATGGTATTGCAAATGCAGGTCCGGTGCACGCGTGGTTGGAGTTTGTGCTCATGTTGCAGCAGCCATATGGTTTCTTGCTCTGGGCAGATACAAGGAGTCACTCCGCCCGGTTTGTGACTGGGGACAATTTGTTGATGATGCGAGTGTAATTCCGGACACAATTGACGAATCAGAGGAGGAGGGTGTGGAGGAATAATTAGAATGGACAAAGATTTAAATTGCAGATCAAAAATTTTAATATACATGTATAAAGCATATTTTAACATGCAAAAATTCACAGAAATATAATAAATCTATTTTATGTGTGTCCTCTACCACGGTATAGCTATTTAAAAAAAAATAGCAGATTCATTAGTTATATTTTTACAAAGAAAAAAATCACAGTTATATAAAGAATATATAAATGTGTGTGTGTAATCTTAGATGAAATTGTGAATATCTTAAATTCTTTCACTTTTACAAACTGAATTTACGGAAATGCATGACTGTGTTAAACATGTACATGTAGTGAATCATTAACTTGGTCCAATTGTTGTAAATATATATACATTTGTTATCGTTAAAGAAATTTTGTTTTTTTGTTTACACCATTTTATAATCAAATAAGGTTTATTTTCAAATAAATCGGTTTATGTTATGTTGCCTTGGTCTGCCAGTAGAGTTTTAAGATAAATAAATTTATATTCAACAATGGAGGCTGTTTTATGCTTACTATGTATGTGTATCAAATGAATGACGTCGAGTCTAACACGACGTCAAAAAGGTTATGTCATGTAATGACCAAGCCATTTTCTAGATGTTATATTTCTTTTATTAAAAATATTAAAAGCAATTGATGACAATTTTCTGAAAGCCCATATTCTAAAGTAATAAAATAAATAAGAAATAGTTAGTTTTCTCTCAGGGCAAAAAATGATATAAAGTGAACCAAGTTCTTTAAAAGAAAAAATCGACGTTGGAACGATAAAGAAACCCCACTGTTAAATGGCCAGTGTGCCGAATAAATGTCTAAATTTGACGAGTTTTCCCGGTATTTGCTATGATCTTTAAATGAGTTAAAAAATGTTAGGTAAAAATATATAAAACCAAATTAACATTCAATCACTATTATTTAACTCCTACAAAAAATGAACATCCTTGCATGATATATTACATGTAACCTAAATTGTTACAATTTTTAAATCTGCCCAGCTATTATCAGCGGACCATATCCTGGACATGGAAGTTATGAATGTTTCATAAATATGATTCCTTCTTGGCTGATTCCGTTATGCTCCAAACAGACCTTGGATGTGTTTGGAAGATTGCCACGATTCTGTTTTCAACTCATTTCATTCAGCATAAATATGTTGCTCAATCTTTTTACTACGCTTAATGACAAGCATATTTCTGGCAACTGTCACAGAACTAAAGTAAGTAAAAAATCTAGGCCTCCTATTGAAACTGGTGTTAACTCTTTTAAACGGTGTTTACTCGTTTATGAAGGTCACTTGGCAATCTACCCTTTGAAAGTAATTTAACAAGGATTTGTCACAGTTTACTTCCTCATTCGAAATGGCTGGCGTCTGGTGGATCATTTTATTATACGGAGTAATTCACTGCTACGGTAGGTTACAAAGCTTCAAACCTGATGTAGATGATATTTTACAGCCGTTTTCATGATATTTTTTTTCTGATTGTTGAAGAGGATCATACGAAACATTAATTTTAACCCAAATAAAAAAATGAGGAGATAACTAGCTCTTTGTTAAAGCCTTCTTCGTTTTAAAATGCCAGTTGAACATGCATGAGTTCAGCTCAAATGTAATATTGTGAATTTGCACAAAGAAAAATTTAAATGGTAAAAGTCATTTAAACTTTCTTTTTGAAATTAGTGCTTTGTAAATCTGCACAGACTTTTTTTGAAAATTCTTTTCAATGAAATTTGACACTGAAAATAATTCTTTTATTTGTCTTTTTCGTTACATTTTCGTATCTTTAGAAAAAAATCAAACCGCATTAGACTATCTTTTGTTTAAACGGATATCATTTTCTCTCTGAAGTTCTTTGATTTGTTCAAAACATTTTACAGTCGTTTCTCCATATCTTCTTTCTCACCAAGTCCCCGTGTGGATCCGGGTTGGAATAGGTCCTAAATACCCCCTTGTTTGTCGTAAAAGGCGCCTAAATGGGACGGTCCTTCGGATGATACCGTATAAACCGAGGCCCTGTGTCACAGCAGGTGTGGCACGATAGAAATCCCTCCCTACTCAATGGCCGTAAGTTCCGAGCATGAGCCTAAATTTGCAGCCCTTCACCGGCAATGGTGACGTCTCCATATAAGTGAAATATTCTGGAGAGTGACGTTAAACAGTATACAATAAATCTTTCTCACAAAGCGCTACATAGATATATCGTCTTATCCTTTTTTTAATAAGACCTCTGTCGATTGAGGAGGAATATATAGAGAGGTTCGAAATTAATTATTTGCATTTTCTCTTATCTGTCCTTAACATTCCTTACAAAATAGAATTTTGTTCATTTTATCATGAACCAGTGAAAAGAGCTTGAGTAGTGCTTTCAAGCAAATTAGCGGCGTATGAATACAGAACTACATGACAATTGTACTTTTAAGGGAAATTCCAATGGACTAAAAAAAGTGGTGTTTCATCACAAATTAATAAATAATTTTAAAAAATCAATTCTTTTTGAAAACACAATCTATTTCTTGAAATAATTTTGATTCCTCCTACAAAAAATACAAAACAAGAGACTCATGGGCTTTATAGATCACCTAAGTATCATGCTATAATTTTACAACAATTTAATTTGATTCATGGTTTAAACCAGTGGCCATGAAACTCAGAATTTTGAAAGAGGCACCATTGCTACTCATAGCTGTACATTCAGCATGCTTTGTTTCAACCACTATTGAAATACTTATATCAGTAGTGGTTGAGAGTGCAATTCAATAACAAACATAGTTAATAACTGCTATTGTTATACGACCACTATTGAAATAATTATATCAATAGTGGTTAAGAGTGTATTTCAATAGCAAACAAAGTTAGTAACCACTATTGAAATACGCAAGTGAGTTAAGGCTACATATGGAGGTTTCTATGCAAAATATTAATTAAATTCCATAATTGCTCTACCTACCGCACAAAAATATTAAGACTTGTTTTCTAATACATTCTTGATACCCACGACATGAGATTGAGATACCCAGTACATATTATGATGTCATATTATGACGTCATCGACCTCTACTATTCACGTTTATAAGAAACATCAACAAAATCACTTCGGCGCAAGGGCATACCTTACTTTTTTTGGCACTGCAATTGTTTAGTTACTATTCGTGCAGTTTTAAGTTTTAAAAGGGTAAAAATCCACAGTCAAGCTAAGTGTAAGTTTCTTAAAATTTTTATCGATTGAGAATGTGCATAGGATTTGTGCAGCAATTGTATTAATTTTAAGAATATTAATATTCTCCTTAATTTTATACATTGTTTATTTCAAATTAGATAGGGTATGCCCTTGCGCCGACGTGATTTTGTTGATGTTATTTATTACCTTGAATGGGAGAAAGCAATGACGTCATAATATTCACTTGCAATAATAACTTGTGGACTAAGTATGTTTAAGAAAATTAATTTGAACTTTCTTTGTACATAAAATATACAACTTATGAATTTTTATTAGCTCCTTTGCATAAAAATATCTATATTTAGCCTTAACTCGCTTGCGTTCGACCACTATTGAAATAATTATTTCAATAGTGTGTGAGAGTGCATTTCATTAACAAACTTTGGTAATAACCACTATTAAAATACGACCACTATTGAAATAAATATATCAATAGTGGTTGAGAGTGCATTTCAATAGCAAACATAGATATTAAACACTATTGAAATATGACCACTATTGAAATAATGATTTAATAGTGGGGAAGATTGCGTTTCAATGTGATTACCATAGGTTTCAACCACTATTGAAATGCGACCAGTATTTAAAGAAAAGTTTCACCGCGTTATTTTTAATATTTCATCCAAAATTTCACGAAAAATGGATTTTGGGTAAAAAATATATATATTAATAATTAAAGTGTATACATTGTAAATCAATAAGGATTGTTTTAGTGAGGCAAAATTTTAAACATCACAGAAGGTGTACAATTTCTTTATAGTCTAAAATTTATTATTTGCATCATTTTCAATGAAATCAGTCCAAAAAATATATACTAATCCTGGCATCCATATTTGTTTGTTTTCATTGATAAGCAGTCAAGGTGGCCAGACGTGTTTTTTTACAGCTCCTGAAGATCTTATCTCTACATAGCTTAACAATGGAATAATAATGAGTTTGAGTGATAATTCTAATCTTTTCAAGTCACTTTTGGACTCATTTACCGGATTTTCAAGATCATTTATATTAACTAATGATCTGTGGGACTTAGTGTAAATGATGTGCCAAATTTCTTGCAAGTACAGGAAAATCAGGAAAGTGTTACAATTACTTTCGATGGCGACAAGTACCCCATCATTTTAGATCTGTTGGAGAAGAAACTCCTTTTATTCAAAGACAGCAATGAAAGGCGACATGGATCTATTTATAAATCACAGGATAAAACTGTCACTGTTACCATCTACGAGACAACAAGCTCTCTACATATCCAAGGGGAATCGTATTTTTCTTGGTATCAGGAGTTCCTCACGGACTTGAATAAATTGGATGTAAATTTGGAAACAAATTGTAAGACTTAAGATGAAACATCTCCTCAATGCATCTCCACCCCTAAGGGTAAGACATCACAGAATTGTCAGCAGTGTATTAGCAGTGCCAAACTTATTCAGGAATTGTCTGATACCGTCAAGCTTTTGTCACAAGCAGTCAGTGACCTAAAACAGCAACTAAATGGGTCAAAAAATGTCACATCGCTTGTTTCAAGAGCTACCCATTGGCAAACAACTCCTAATAGGACAAAACAAAAGGAGACATCAACAGACGGACTCCTTCACATTCCAGCTGGTGTATCTAGACATACCCAATGCACCCTTAAGGCTCCTACAATATCCAATAGTACCATGACAGATGCCAGTGAAGCTCATACTAGGAGTTTTCCCTACCTCGCCAGATTCAAACACCAAACATGGAACAAATCAACCTAGAAAGACCCCAACGGATAAATCTGTCCTCATCATAGGAAGTTCCATACTACAAAGGATCCGCACCAGAGGATTGCATTCAACTGTGCAGGTCAACACAAATCGCGGGGCAAACATCTCCCATATACGGTCCAAGCTCTCAAAAATGGATGTTTCTTCATATCGTAGTGTAATCATCTTGGCTAATGGAAATGATGCATCTAGACAACGAGACCCAGAGGCAATAGAAAATGATTTCGCAGAAGTAATCACAGATCTCAGAAATCGGAATTCTAGTATCAGTGTATTTATCTCGGAAGTATTACCAAGGCGTGATACAAACACCAGTGAAATTAATGGAATTATTAAAAGTGTATGTGAAATGTATGGTGGTACAGTGATTCAAACTTCTAAATTCTTTGGTCGTGGAAATTTCAAACAAGAGTATTATTGGAAAGACAACATTCATCTGTCAGACAGAGGTACAGCAGAATTGCTAAAAATTTTCCATCAATACGTGAGTATCCTCAAAGTCGGAAACGTACGTACGAATGGTGAAGAATCGGAAATAATTGGCAGTACTTCCTTCCGCCGTTCAGCCCTCTGTTATTTCTGTGGAGAAAGTGGACACATATCACGACACTGCAGACATGGAAGAAAGCTGGACTCTGGAATTGTGGGGAACTAGGTCATAAAACCAAGCTTTATCCGAATGGACACTAGGAAACTGGCAACGAATGTAGCCGACCATAGTTCCCAAACGATTCCTATTGACAACAATGTTTATTCGACTCTTAGTAGATTATGTTCAGAATGTAATAAGATCCACTGTTCATGCAAACAATGTAAATATTTTTCTCTAAATCTTGTAACAAATTCAAAAAATTTAATTACTTCACCAAATACTTCTAAATTCTCAAAACCAGACAAGAATACTCATAGATTTCATACCAAGAAGGTTTCACAATCTGCTAATCATACTATATCTAAAAATGAGAATATACATGTACCACATGTACCGAGCAATAATGGGTTTGGCTTGGTGAAAAAGGTCTAAGATTTGGAAATCTAAACATATGCCACTTATTGCCTAAAATTGAAGAAATTAAACTATTACTTCATGATGACATTTACTGGACTTTTACCACAAAGAAGGAGACATGGAGAACTATAGAATTTATCGAAACAAAGTTAGCGTTCTTATAAACAAATCAAAATCTTCTTACAAAACAGCGATTGAACAGAGTTCAAATCCCAAAGAAATGTGAAACTATCTTAATCAGTTAACATGTAATCTTAAGAATACAACTCCATCTCATGTGTCTTCTAATGGGGAAATTGTTGACAATTTGCAGGATATTGCAAATACTTTAAATAACCACTTTACGGATGTCTCTAACAAGCTTCTTTTGGATATCCCAAAACATGATTATGATCCTAATATATTATGTAATTTTGTTAGGTCTAAGCTTGATGA